AGGGCTCAGGAACTTATCCTCCCAAATTTTTGCCCCAAGCCATCACAGGAAAGGAAGAAGCAATGGCACACTCTGGATGTGAGGTGCACCTTGCGTGTTTACATCAAACGCACAGAGACCTTTCGAAAGTCAGAAGCCTTGTTTATTTCCTTTCAACCTAAAACACAGGGACTTAAGGTTCCACCAACCACCATAGGCCGTTGGATAAGGGCGGCCATTGCCAGGTCATACCAGTCACAGGCCCTCCAGGTACCCAGGGGTATCATGGCTCATTCCACTAGGAGCGCGGCAACTTCGGCTGCCTGGGCTACCCAGGCTCCAATAAACGAAATCTGCCGGGCAGCGACGTGGGCCTCCCCGTCACCCTTTATCAGGCACTACAAGATTGACACGTATGCCTCAGCTGAGGCTTCCTTTGGCAGAAGGGACCTACAGAAGGTCTTTAGAGAACCCGGCGTGCCTACAGACCAGACGGCGCCCCTCCCGTAGGACAGGCCCAGCTTTGGTATGTCCCACTTCTGGATGCTCCGAGCAGCTCTAAGGAGAATGGGCGTTGGTACTTACCTGACACGCCATTTCTCTTCGAGCTGCGAGGAGCATCCAGCCCCACCCTAATTTCACCGTCTGGTGGGGTCTTGTTTCGGCCAATGAACCATTAGTTAGTTAGGATGAGAGCACAAATTTTTTTCCTCTCGTCTTCGCAAAACTGGGGAACGCTACGGAGATGTCACGTGGAGGAGGAGGAGCATTCCTCAAGATTAAGCTCAGCCTACAAATGCAGAGACTGAAGCACCACCCACTTCTGGATGCTCCGAGCAGCTCGAAGAGATATGGCGTGTCAGGTAAGTACCAACGCCCAATCTCTTAAGTGCTGACATCTGCTGAGGGCTATTAAGAAAGATGGAGGCTGCTCCCTGTCTCTTAAGAGCATGTTTCCCCACTTATTTAGGGAAATATAATATTCTGCCTTTTTAATATTTCACAAAATATTTCATTCTTCTAGGATTGGGGTGGGTGCTAACTTTCTACAATATCATTCCAAATTTGTTCCTGTTCACTTTTGAGGTCGATGGATAGATAATTTAGGTGAACAACTTATGTTGAACATCTTATACACTGTTTCCCCCATTTATTTAAATTGTATTTATAACTAATTATACTATGTTTACCTAAGGGTAGTTGAATGATGTGCAAGGCCATGAATGTCAGGCCTTGACACACTAGAACACTGAGCCGTATCTAACAAAATGAAATTCAATGTAGAGAAAAGTAAAGTCCTACAGTTAGGCAAGAAAAACCAAAAGTACACATATAGACTGGGTGAAACCAGGCTCAATAGCAGTAACTGTGAGAGGGATCTTGAAGTCTTAGTGGACAACCAGCTAAATATGAGCCAGCAGTGTGCAGTAGCAGCCAAAATAGCTAATGCAATCCTAAATTGTATTAACAGAAGGATACAATCAAGATCAAGGGAGGTACTAATACCATCCCATAAAGCCTTAGTAAGACTATACCTATAGTACTGCATCCAGTTCTGTTTACATTACAAAAAAGATGTTGAGACTTTAGAAAAAGTACAGAGAAGAGCAACCAGGATGATTAGGAGACTGGAGACTAAAACATATGAAGAACGGTTACAGGAACTGGGCTTGGCTAGTCTAGTAAAGAGAAGGACCAGGGGAGACAGGATAGCAGTCTTCCAATATTTGAGGGGCTGCCACAGAGAGGAAGGGGTCAAGCTATTTTCTAAAGCGCCTGTAGGCCAGACAAGGAATAATGGATGGAAACAGCTTTCCCTCAGAAGTTGTGGGAGCGCCATCACTTGAGACTTTCAAGAATAGATTGGACTGCCATTTATCAGAAATGATGTAGGCAGGGTCTCCCGCTTGGGCGGGGGTTGGACTAGATGACCTACAAGGTCCCTTCCAACTCTGATTATGTTATCTGCCTCACTGAGCAATTACTTATTTAGAATTTGCAATGTATTTACATTATTTACAATCACATTATTCTCTAAATAATAAACCGTTGAAAATCAAGTCTACCAAACCCAGAACGTACAATTTTAAAAATACATATAACCTTTTAAATCGTTTTTTTTTTAAACTTGCACCCCATAAAGTCAAGCCATTCCATCTCCTACGTAGATTTTTTTCCCTTCTTTTATGACGCGGAGAATTGCACAACTTCTCGCGAGAGTCTTGACCACTCCATGGGAGAGAGCTCGCTTTTGGATGAGGTTTGATAAACGACGTACCGCTCCTGCGAGTTGTTGAATTGTTTTCTTCGAACACCTTCCTCGCGAGATACGCATTCTTCGCGAGAATTTCGTAGTACGCACCATCGATTTGCATGGAAATCTCGCGAGAGCCCGTGCAGCAAGGTCTGGGCATCCCCATAGCGGCAACACAGATCCTCCTACAAGCATCAGGACGCGGTGGGCGCCATTTCAGGGAGCAGTCGCCTTTGCTTAAGTGGAGTCCGTGTGTTTTTGTTACGAAGCTTCCTTGGCTTTGCTCGTACTGATTTTTCGAGGTCGTTCTTAGTCTAGCTTTTTTGCCTGCTGCTGTTGCTGAGATAATTTTTTCGCTTAAGGGCCAGCGCCCCTCTCCTTACGCGTATCCGGAGCCAGAGCAAGCAAACGACGTCCGTGGCAGTATCCCTCCGCCTCATAAACACCTGAGCCAGAGCGAGAGGCCGGCAGCGCAGGTAATAGCTTCCATATTTTTGACGGCTCTCTTTTATGAACTATTCGGGGGAAACGGCAGCGCGGGTTCTACAAGGCTAAAAGGTGTCTGCGTTAGGCCTTCTCGGTCGCGGGCCCATTTCTTTTTGTCTTTGATTTAATTCTGGTCTGGTCTGCCGGACTGGAAGTCCCAGCTCCTGTGAGGGGGTGGGGGGTGTACAGGCCTCTCTATGTGGTGCCCGGGGGTGGCGGGAGAAAACGAGGGAAGTCGGATGGTGTGGTTTAGTTTTGGAAATTGTTTTTATTTTCGCGCGGAAGGTTTCGTGGAATAGAGCTTTTCCTGAGTCTCATGATTATGATCGGGATATATTTCGCCACAAGATTCCTAACTATTTCTTTATTGCTTTAGATATTCTCGCGGGAAGGGCCTTAAAACTTCGCAGTGTGTGCTGTTGTGTATTAACGAAATGATGACCCGAGAGAATAAGGGCGCTTAGTAAAGAGCCATCGTAATAACTACTGGAAGGAGAGTAGAAAGTTTGTTTACTACTGTGGTATTTTTTTTGGGGGGGGGGGAATAGTTATGGGGCCGAAGATGTTCAGGTGGGAGGGCAAAACGAACTTTCTACGGTATATATCTGCAGAGGTTAAATCCGTACACGTGGTTTGTTTCCCCCAAAATGTGTAGTTCCTTGTAGATGTTTTTAAATAAGTAAATGCATGCATTTTTTGCTTTTTGACAATTTGAAAATGTTTCACTCATGTAACAAGACCGTTTTTAGTAAAAAAAACAAACCCATCTTGCTTAAAAATTGTAGTTAACCCAGGCATGCTAAATCACAAACCAGTTTTAAATGCACAAAAGTTTATATACGGGCAAGGTCTCTTTAGAGAATTATACCTGAATTTGCTTGTGTGAATTGTAGATTACTGTGCTAAATCTTATGGTGGATTATGATCTGTTGAACTAGATATTGCTTCTGAAAATGCATTATCTAGATGGTTTTAATTAATTATTTGGATTCTACACTAAAATTACAATTTTTAGAAATGTTAAAATAGGCCTACAGTACTACATTACATTATGCATAAATACTGCCCTATATTGGAGTTCAAAGATAAATTTTAAAACTTCTCAAGCATTTAAGAGAAATATCAGTTATTCATGGAAATACAGGAAGGAAGGGATAGTTAAAAATGCTGGCTTTCGGTATAATAAAAACAGCATAGGAGAAAATCTAGCAGTATTATAAGTAGTATAAGACAGCATTAAATAATATGCTTGTAGAGAATAGTATGTCTTTTTCCCCAGATTGGGTTATAAATAATTTTAATAGAATGTGTAAGTTTAGAATGCAACTATTATAAATTGAATACTTTATCTGTTTTTGAAAATTAAAAAAATGATCTAGTCCAAACAGATCAATTAAAATATCCGAGGCTATATAATTAAAATTATCCAAGTAAACAGGAATATTAAAATATATAGATTTAGTTTCTTAACAAGGAAGTCATAACTCTGATAGTATTTGCTTAAAATGTTGCTAGGTTAAAATATAAATTATGACATATGTTACAGACACACAGAGCACATATATTTATTTTCCATCTATTAAAGATATACTGATCTGACCAGTTTTGCTTCTTGGCAATGGGGCCTTCATGATGTCTGTTAGATTACCTTATGGAACTTTTATATGGTCAAAGAGAAATAGAACAAATCTTTAGAGCATACTTTGTGTGTGTGTGGGGGGGGGGTTTAGTAAGTTCAGTTCTGTTCTTTCCATATATAAAATTGCAGATATTCCAATGCTGTTTTTGTTTGAGGATAGGTTTCCCTTAATGTGAGTTTGCTAAATTGTCTGGTGTCACAATTTGTTTAAAGTCACATTCTTCTATCCCATACTGTCTATTCACCATATTACTTAGGACAGTGCTGAAAAAGTGCAAGTGTACTTTATTTCAACCTAAAATGTAGCGTGAGAAGATCACAATTTGCTACGTGTACAAATATTAAAACCTAAGCAGCATTTTTCTGCAAATAGTTATATTTTCACCCAAATACCAAGCGCCTGGGGTATTTGTTAGATTTAGTTGCTAGCTTTCCAACAGATTTATGACCTTTGGATTCTTAAGTTGTGTTGCAATTTACTGATTTGTGTAGTCATATTCTTACTATCAAGTATACCAGTGTGAAATTATTTGCTACAGATTTAATCAATTGCTGGACATAATTTAAAAGTATCCCTAATTTTATTTCTATGACGCTTAGAAATGTTTTCTACATAGTATTACTTCTTTTTTCTTCCTATAGGGCTGTGAATGTTTAATGGGACATTCTGGATGATGATACTTAAATACAGGATTTTTGAAGATACTGCTTTCTACATAGCAGTAGCAGTTATATCTTCTGGTAGATATTTGTTTCAAAGATAGATAATGTATGAGCACAGTAGGTGATCGTATGAGACAGCTTTAATATTTTTTTCATTGCATTGGATTCTACATTTATTGAAAGTTTTCCTGAGAAATTCTCTGGACTCTTAAATGGCAAATTAATAGCAATATGCAGCTATTTGGGTCCAAAGTAGATATGAATCTTCAACTGTAAGAAGGCTTGCTGTACTTTTATATGGGGTTTGTGCCTTTTTATGGGCCTCACAATAGCCATACAGTCCAAGTAAAATAATATTTGTTTACTGAAACATGTTTTTTTCTGGTAGATGCCAATGAATACATTTCATGTTCCCACATTTCTTCAATTGTGTCGCTCACTTTGGATCCAAATAACTCCACAACACTGCAGATTTTATATAATAATTTTGATATATGTGTCATATGCATTTTTAGTTTTTGAAAAAAGGTGAAAAATGTTACAGCAATTGTTACAAATTGTTAACAGATGTTACAAGGGTTTGAAATGGCACATTATATAGGAGATCTGAATAGAAATATAATTGTAGCTGTAACGGAAGGCAGATCTCCTTTTCATATTTCCTGAATTCAATAATGAGCATGCATTTCATCACATATTCTGTCTTTACACTATTTTTCTCAAAATGTAGTAGTAAAAAGCAAGATAATATGCACATCTGTATTTCAATTTCCATACTTGGAAATTTCTTCTTTCATATATACAGTAATTGCCACTTGTAAGCTTTTCTATTTCACTGAAGTATTTGGTCATAATTGTTATGACATTTGGAAGCTTATATTACAAGTTTGCATTTGAGAATCTATACTAATTCCATACAAGTGGTTATTAAGATAGCTTGACTAATCTGTTTCGAATTTTTGACCCAAGGAGTCAATGATTCATGGCAGATTTCGGGGAATTAGGAAATCATCAAATTCATGAGGAACTTCCAATCTGAAGCTCTAATGAGCTTTTTTTTCCACCATAGGGATGTTTCTCCCACATCTTGGAGGTAAGGCAATAGCACCACACGAGTTACATTTGAAATAAATTTCAAGGAACTATTTTATATGAATAGATTCTTCAAGTAAGGAATCATTTAGACTTCACCAAAAGTGATAATGAACATTTTGTTTACTTAGAAAACATGTACCACCACCAAGAGCACAGTTTCACAAATTTTAGTGGTTTATCATACTTTATCATACTTTAAAAATCATCTACTTTCAATACAGGATTTCTACAGGCTGTTTAGGATCTGTATCCTTTGCATTGCTTGCCCATGATTAAAATTTAGGTTTGGTATGGAACAAAGAAGCTGACTCTATACCACAGTTGCAATATGAGCTATATGTAGCAATTTTGTGAAATCTGCATTGAGAAATTCAACAGTGGACTAAGATAATTTGTTGTTTTTTTAATAAATTGGTAATCACATTGAATAAACAATTTATTTTCTTAATCTACTTTTTGATTTTTTTCCCTAATCTTGTGGCTCCTTAAAATCAAATTCATTTCATTTTAAAAAGTTGTGTAGAGTATATATGAGGTACTTTCTAAAATAAGAACTGACTCATTCTTTGAGAGAAAAGTACTAAATACATGGATAAGTTCAGTTTAGCTGTACTTAGTGCATATTTCTAGAGCAAGGGTCTTCAAACTTGGCAAGTTTAAGACTTGTGGACTTCAACTCCCAGAATTCCTGAGGTAACATGACTGAAGGAGGAATTCTGGGAGTTGAAGGCCACAAGTCTTAAACTTGGCAAGTTTGAAGACCCCTGTTCTAGAGCAACATCCTTTGGAAATGTGGTACCACTAAATCTTAAATTGATCACAAATACAAAATTAGATTCTTGCCTAAAGGATCTTGTTATTTTTTTTCTAGGTGTCCTGAAAAATGGCTGATGATATTGATATTGAAGCAATGCTTGAAGCTCCCTTTAAGAAGGTGAGAAGATATGGTAACAAGTTTTTTAGCAATATTCATTTAGCATTATTCATGAAACTACTGCTGAACTATAAATTAACATCCCTGGAGCCCTCATGATTTATCTTATTGGACATGCATTACGTGTATCTTACCAGTAACTAAATGCTGTTAATGTAATTATATTGTGCAGTAGTTTCACTTCAGCGTGATGAATAAATGCCCATCTATCTCTCTTTGTAGACTTGCCTAACGATATCTCACCTCTACTCCCATGAATTCACCTTTGATTCCAGTGTGAACTGTCAATCATAAGGTAGTAATTGAGTGACGTATCGCTGTACCGTGGTCCCCCTAGGTAAAACGAACAAACGAACAAAAACACTCCTAAAAACTACCACCTCAATTTTGGTAGACCAAGAAGGTGAATGCAATGGTTTGGGCAAACAGCAGGGTTCCAAGAATAACATTTCCCCTAAGTTCATGACAAGCAAATCCTTAGTCTGCTTGTTAATGCAGGAGGAGTTACGGCTTTTTTATTATTTAAAGGATGGGTTATTAATCTTTTAGCAACACCAGACAGTAATCAAAGTGTTATGTGAAAGTTGTTTCCAAAATTCTTGGATCCCTGAATAGTTCACATCATAGTAGACATGAAAGATATTTTGAACTACGTTCATTGTGACAGTACTTTTTTATCTAGTAATTTCTTAGAAATCTTTAATTTACCTTTTCTGCGCTTCTGAGTACTGAGTACCTAGCTTCAGAACTAAATAGGGAGCAAGTATGTATAGATTTCACCAGATCTTCATAAAACTATGAAATTATGCATGCAGTAGCACTGGCTTCACAAATTTATAAATATATACATTTAAAACTTAATGTGCAGTTGAACTCATGGTGTAACTGGTGTGATAACTACAATAAACAACAGTAACTGTTAGTTGATTTTGGAGTATATTTAGTGCAGCTCTTCGGTATGAGATTTGGAAAAGTGTTGTAACCTTTTTAATGTTCATGTTTTAGTATTATGTAATTAGTACTTACATAAAATGTTGAAATGAATATAAATTGTAATGTTAAGTATATTGTATGCTAGTTTAACATGGATATTTTCCATGTAAACAGGTTTGGAAATAGGAAATATTTAGGCTGGACTGGTTGGATTTTTGATGAATGACTTGGGAGTCGACATTACTAAAGCAGTGTGAATCCCTGTTTGCTTCAGGGCGAGATGTGTGACAGAGGTGGCATCAAGCTCTTACAGTCCCAACCCTCCAACGAAAATGGGCGAAGATCTCAGGAATGGCATCGGTCACAGGAAATCGATAGTGGCTGGCTGCTAGCTTGGTCACTTGGGGCTTAGGCAGAAATATAGCCTTGGTATTGGTCAAAAGGGATTATAGCATATGAATGTGCTTTTAAACTTGATATTTCTTGTTTATATTTTATCATTTAACCACTTCAGTGCTGGAAACTGCAGGATGACTTTATTTCATTGTAAGAAAGTTTGTACAATTTAAATAATTTTTAAATAGTAATTTTCTATTCATAGTTGTATGACTTAAATGTAAGCAGCAAAGTGGTTAAAAAGTCTACCTTAATTAGTAGCATTCCATATTGAATATAAAGTTTAGTATTAAATTTTTGTTTTGTATTTTCTTATCCCTGTCCCCATTACCCTTTTGACCACTTGAAATGTTTCCACTTCGTCCTCATGATGTTCTTCTATCAACCCTGCTTAGGATGAGAACAAATTGAGCAGTGCCAATGGACATGAAGAGCGAACTAAGAAGTAAGTATTTGCTGGCTCTTTAAATATGTACTTTTGCTTAATAAAGCATTCTCATTTTTGATTGATAACTTTGGGTATCTAACCTCCCTTCTTCAGTTTTTGTAATTCACTTTTCAGGTTAAGATAGTAGGAAAAAAGTAGCAAGGGGTTTTGTATACATTTGAATATTTTCATTTTCACATACTTCCCAGCATTTGTCTCCCTTTCTCTCCAAAACAAAAGGCCATCTTTTCAGGATAGAAAACATTTACAATATAACATAAACTTAATTTCATTAAGCTAATTGAAGGGGGAGGATTGTCTCTTCAACTCAAACATATTTATATGTACATTTTACATAATTTAAATGATTACAAAATTATGTAAACGATATGAACATTGTCTGAAAAAGTCAAAATTCACATTTTGCGCTTGCATATGAAATTCACCAACTGAGTATCTGTTTAGAAAACAACTATTACAGTAATAATTTTATTGCTTTTTGATGTAATGGGATTATATTAATAACTCTTAACTTGAAATTATGATAGTCTTCTGACTTTCATAGTAGAGAGTTTAACTAACACCCATTCTCTTTTTGTAGGCTCCTTCAATTGTATATCTTTCTTCCAGGCCATATAACCATATTGGAATAAATGTTGCTTTATTTAAAAAAAACATATTTCTGTGCTTTAAAGATGAAGGGAAGCAGTTTACTAAATTTTTGTAGATGAATCTCCAGCTAAAGTAAACTGTTCTAATGTAGAAGTTCAGAATATAATAGAGTTTCTTACTCTTCAAAATATCATGGAATGGGTTTATTCCCAGTGTAGGCTAGTTTAGCTTCACTTTGAGAAATAATACACACAAACTAGTTTAAACAGGGCATTACTTATTTCATAATGTCGGTGTTATTACAGAAGGTATTAACTCAAATCCCAGTAGCTTGCCTATCTTCATTACAGCTTTTTATTTGTTAGATATTTTTTTTAATTTGGAGCTTAGCTGTTAAATTCAAGTTGCTAATGCATCTCTATTTACTCATCCTGTACACTGGGAAAGTCAAGGACCCAGTTCAGAAAGATAAGTAGCTTTGTGGCAGAGAAAAAGTAGTTATAATAATGGAGAAATACTGCCTTTTGTAGAGGCTAAAAATCTAAGTACTATTGCACCACATTTGTAGATTATACAAATCTGATCCAAAGTTCCTCCGTTCATACACCTCATACTTTGAATTAAGTTTATTCTTAAAATACGATTAACAGTGATAAATTATAAAACAGATTTGGCAATGCATTTGCAGACTTTGATCTCTGTAATTGTTTGATTTTATTCCTTTTATATTGCAATTTTATGTACAATATAATAAAAGCACGTTGCTTGAATTACACTTGAAGAGTAATTAATAAAGGACTCTGATTTGACCTTGTCATGTGAAATTGCCTAAATGTGAACAGCAGCCAATATTTAATTTTACCGTGTTACCTAATGGATGGTAGCATTTCCTTCTCCTATAACATAACTTTATTTGAAATGGGGGAACGTGTGGAGATTTGGGTATATATTTTCCTCTGTCAAAATGAGTGATTGGCAAGCTTGGACTCCAACTCTTAGAATTCCCCAGTCAGAAGAAATTGGTAGGGTTGAGAAACATTGGTCTAAACCATAATTGGTTTGTACAGGTAGTCCTCAATTTAAGACCACAATTGAGCCCAAATTATCTGTTGCTAAGCAAGACAGTTTTAAGTGTGTTTTGCCCCATTTTACGACCTTACTTGCCACAGTTAAGTGTATTTGTCTTTCCCATTGACTTCTAGTTGTCACAAAGTTGCAAAAGGTGGATCACATGTCCCTGGGATACTGCAACCTTCATAATTATGAACTAGTTGCCAAGCATCCAGATTTTGATCACATGACCATGGGGATGCTACAATAGTCGTGTGGAAAACGGTCATAAGTCACTTTTTTCATTGCGGTTGCAACTTTGGTCATTAAATAAATGATTGTAAGGTGAGGACTAATTGTATTTCCCTGCAGTTTTTATACTAGCTTGGTAAACTAGCATTGACTAGTTAAAATTCCTTTGTTTATTAAATATTACCTTGGCAGGAAGATGTTATGCAACTGTTTATTTTGAGTGGAGGAAAGTTTTTTCTTTTCCTTTGGAAAAATCAAAAGTAGGCCATTAAATTAACAGAAACTATTGATAATCTCTCCCATTAATTGTATAATTAGATCATAACTGTACTGAACTGAAGTTAAATGTTACCTTCAAAATGTTATCTTACGCTATTAAATTACAATAGTTTAAAGATAGTTTTATAATGTGTTTGCTTGCTTAAGGCCTTTTGTTCTGTGCCTTTGATGTTAAAAAGTCTTAGCATATTTAACCCTGTCATGTTTGATATACTATATAAACATAAGGGCTTTTTTTCTTTCGATTTTTGAAAATCAATTAAGTAAAATAATTGTTTTAGTTGTATTTTCTCAGGCACTCCCATTAGTTTTCCATTTAAGGGATAAACAATATCAGTTCCAGTTCTAGCAGTTCTGTAGTATATTTCCAATCTGTAAAGTGGTCAATAAAACTTTATTTCGCTTTCTTCCCCATATTTTAAATCCTCTTTAAAGGAAATTTTGTCTTAAATGTTTTATGTTGAATTGTCTGGTAAGTTGCTTTTACTGTGATAAGACAGAACACATATTTACATTTACTTACATAATATGCATTCATAGGCTTTGAAGGTGTATTTACTAAATTATTCTCTGTTCTTTAATATTTTTGTATTTTGCAATATCTCTTTTTGATAAATACTGTTCCTGTACATGATTCAATTAGATCTTTAAAAATACCTATATTGTAGGAAATAATTAAAGTAGTGTTGTTTTTAAATTGTGAAACTAAATTCAAGACAAGTGTTGCCAGAATGTGTGAAATTACTCCTAAAAAATGGAGTGAGGAAGGAAACTGGCATGCTATAAAGCACCAGCCTCCAAAAACTTTTTTATTTCCAAGCTGACCTTGAATACTAAGTAATCTGCACATGTTTCCTAGAAATAAAAAGGAATTTATAGCTGCAATCAATGCGGCTACCTACCCAAAAAAGAGAAAAAAATATTAGAATTGGTAATATCTGCAAAGAACTAGAGAGAATGGTAGGAAGCAACACACACTTTGATTTCCTGATAAAGGTGGTGGTTTGTGACAAGTCACACCCATTCTAGCAGCTCTCTCTGAACACTCATTGGCCTCAAAAGACTAGGGACATTTTTTTGGTAACCTTTTACCAATATATCTCCTTTCATGTGATTATGAGTTTTAATAAGCTTAAGTTTTCTTAGGATCAATATGAAAAAGATAAATTGCAACCTTGTTTGTATCATTGTGGTTTAAATTCCACCTCATTAGAAAAAAAATACTATAGAAACCTTCTGTTTAAGCAATGAATGTACATGTTATAAATTGTATAAAAGAACCAGAACCTTTGGTAGAGAATATATAGTTCAAAATTGGTGACACTGCAGTCTACGTAACTTAAAGATTTTTTTTTTTTGCCATCTGGCAGAATATTAGCTTTGCTTGGCATCTCCATTATGATTAATTATTTAACTTGCTGGAAGTCAAATGCATGTATTTGGATCAAGGCTTTCTATTGAAAAAAAATAGCTCTGATTGCCTTTGTACTAACTACAAAATTAAAGAAGTAGTTTTTTCTTGTAAAATGGCAGTGTCAAAGGGAGATGGATGATTGAGCCACCTTCTATAAAACCAGTATTGTAGTATAAGAATGCTTTCCCTGCATTATGGGATGAAATGGCAACAAGTAAAACTGGGCACAATGCATTTAATGATTGCATTAGTGATGGAAGTCCCAGTACTGACTGGTTGTAAGTCAAGGTTTACCTACAGTTCTTAGAGAGCTTATGGGCCCTGCAAAGACCACATAAAGTAATAGATTAATACAAGTTGTTGCTTTATAGTCATTTAATATATGGGTTTGTGATTGAATACACCTTCCATGGCAACTGTAGTATGAGAGTGCTTATATGTCTCAAAATTCCAAATAAAATAATCCCCAAAGTTTGGAACTATATATCATTTTTGAAAAGGGTTGTGGACCACACAGAGTAGCTATGAGCCATCACAATATGTAGTCATTGAGGATCTTCTACAGTGTTTTCATGGTTTTTAGGTTTTAAATTATGATACATATGTTTCACAAATGTTAAAAAACACTGCTATTACAAGCAGTTTTAATCAGTCACAGGGAGCTTTAGGACCACAGCATGGGATTTGGGTTCTCTGTGTCTTAATGTAGAAGCTTTTTCATGGGGTTGAATAGATGTAATAAATCTTACGAAATGTTTAGCACATTAGATTATGTATAGCATAAGTCAATAATTGACTTAAACTACTGTTTAAAAATTTAGTACAGGTAGTCTTTGACTTCAGACCACTATTGAGCCTAAAATTTATGTTGCTAAGTGAGACAATTAAGTGAGTTTTGCCCCATTTTACGTTTTTTTTATCCAGAGTTAAGTGAATCATTGTGGTTGTTAAGTTAGTAACACGGTTAATTTAATCTGTCTTTTCTTAACTGCACTTTCTGACTCTGCTGGTCAGAAAGTTACAAAATATGACACAACTATCATAAATATGAACCAGTTGCCAAGCAGCCAAATTTTGAACAGGTGACCGTGGGGATGCTGCAATGGTCATAAGTGTGAAAAAAGTCAGAAGTCATTTTTTTCAGGGCCATTGTAACTTTGAACAATCACTAAATGAACTGTTGTAAGTCAAGGACTACCTGTATTAACATTTTAAAGCAGCAGTTCTCAATTTTTTGGGCACCAGGGACTGGTTCCATTGAGAGAGGTTTTTCCACGGACCAGAGGAGGGCATCGTTTCATGTGCTGCCCGCATCCCACGGATAGGGCTTTCCTTGTTTGCATGGACAGGTTTCTGGCATACCACGGATTGGTGCTGATCCATGGACTGGAAGTTGGGAACCCCTGTTTTAAAGCACTAAAATAAGATGAAGTGCTATTTTTTGTTTGCACTTTTGTTCTATATTGTTTGACCTCGAACAGAACACATTGTTTATTTGGTCAAACCATATTTCATTTGGATGGGGAAATACAGACTTTACCTCAGACTAAGGAAGATGGAGTGGGTCTTGGTTTTGGGTTACTTGTGGGAGTGGCTGTTTCCTGTTGTATTTACTCTTCTAATAGCTCTCACAGGAAAAGGATGCTATTCCCCCAGAGCAGATCTGGACATTTTATGGCCTTCGGGCCACAACCAGCCCTTTCGCTGCCCCTGTCCAGTTGCACCAGTTGGAAGTTAGAAAATAAAATGTAAGCAGACATGCCACAGAGGGCAGGAAAAGAAGCCAAATGCGTTCCTTTAGTCAGCTGGTGAGAGAAACAACTTCTCTGCGTCTATGGCAGAAGAGCAGCAGCCAAGGGTGAGGCAAGGCTCTGCGTGTCGTCCTCTATCAACGTGGGCGCCGGTAGCGGAATTAAGTTCAGCCTATTGATTTGGCCCTCCACAATAGTCCAAATTTCTTTTGTGTGTGTGTGTGTGTGTTTCTTCAAAATTTTATTTCAATTTAAATTAAGGGGCCAGCCAGATCTTCTAATAAGAAATGCATTCATTTGAAGAAATGCTTTCATGGAAGTAAATTTACAATTGTACACATTTAGGGGGGGACCCCCCCAAAAAGTCACATTAAATAACTTTTAGTAATATCTTTAAGCCTTCACACAGATAAGAAACCATTTCCAGTACAATAGTTTTTAATATGAATAGCACATCAAATGGTCTTAAATACAACTTTTTTGTTGAAAGCCAACATTCCAAGGATTAATGTTTTTTAAAGTATAGTCCCATGCCAAATAATAGAGAAGCAAAATCAATATTCAGATCCATCTTTTAACTTTCATATATCTATTTTGATAGATGTGTGTGTATACACACACATACATACACATATACACAGAGAGAGAGAGACAACTTTTAGCATGTCTATTTTTTTTCTAAAAGTGGAAGCCTTATGCATAATGGAGAATAACTTGCCGCCTAATATTTTGTTGTCTTAGCTATACTAAACCAAAATATAAAAAAGGACAGAGTACTGTACTGATCTATATTACCACCTCCATAGTTGTTTTTGCCTGTCTATATAAATGGTTCAATAGAGCATTATGATTTTTTTCAGCAGATATTACAGATTAATTTCCAAAAGACAAATGGCTTATGACTGCTGAAAGAAACATAGGTATATATCCAACATTATCAGAATCCTATTTGCTGGACTTTATTCCAATTTCCATCATGAAGGCTTTAACAATTAACTAAAATGTCAATCAGCAAATTAATAATTTGTAAAATAATTTAACCATATAGATGCTAGAAAACACTAAATAATTGTATAGCATTTTCAGTCAGATTCAGTCGTGGAATTTGAACTATCATACTCCCAATTCAAAAAGTTCGCTGGTTGTGATCTCAGTCTCCTATTATGAATAGATAAGATTTTGATAACATACTTTAGATATATCTAGCATTTTGTTATGATCACAGTAACAAAAAGTGGTGCAAAATCAGTCTTTAAAAAAATACTGATAGTTTGCAGCATTAAGGAACAGAATATTGACACTAGGATAGTTATGAAAATTATGGTTGTTGAAGGGAAAATATAAATTAAATACAATACAACTATTATACTAATGATATGAAAAGAGAGGTTCTCTTTATACCCACATTTATACCCACAGTCCAAATTTCTTATGTGGACCCTTGGGAAAAATTAATTGCCAACTCTAGCCCCAGAGGTTAGACTTGCTGTGATTTTGCTGAATTTTCATAAAACCTTGAAAACCGGCTTTGTTATTGAGCCTTAAATCTCAGCTATGTGGTTGAGCATGTATCACGGTTGTATTAACTGTTGGTTATTTTTTTAATCTTGCCTACTGTATATGTTGGAAATGTATTTTTGTGTTTGCTGGGAGCATGATGCCACTCACTGAGCGTGGCCAATTGGATGGGTGGGGCCAGCTTGACATCACTTCTCTAACTGCTGGCACATTTCCTCTTTACACTGGGTAGCCCGGGTCAAAGTGACGCGGGTAGACCTGGTTGAAGCGATGCAGGCTGGATCCGGTCCACAGGCCTTGAGTTTGACACCCTGCCTTATATCATTCCAGCCAAGTGGCTGTCCAATCTCTTCTTAAAAGTCTCTAGGGATGGAGCAGCCACAACTTCTGAAGACAAGCTATTCCACTGGTATCTCTCTGTCATCTCCATTGAGGCGTTTATAAAACATACACTCTGCATTCATATTGAAGTTTGTATTCATAAAGTTAAATTTAGCAGTATTTGGAGGTAATCTAACCAATATTTGTTAGTAAAATGATGCATTTTATATAACACATACTTAACAGTAGGAGTTAAAAAAAACCTGATTTTGATCTAGATAATTATGAGTCAAGGAAACATTAGTGGTGGTTGATTAACTCTTCATGGAAAACATTTCCCAGTCCATTAAAGCAAAATATATGGGAAGGTATTTCTAATGTGAGGACACTAAGCTATTGAATGAATTTGTGGGTATAAGAAGATCTAAAGTAATTTATATAAATCAAATAACTTACCTCAATTTTGGTTCACATTTCTCACGTAATGCTCTTCTGCTAGGTTGGAAACAGCCCTTCTGTGTGGAAGAGGCTTTCCTCTAGTGGAAGGGCTCCTTTGGATCCAAGCCACTGGCTCCAGTGGCCACTTGGAACATATCTAACAATACACAGGCAGTGGAATGAAAAACCACTGTCATTAAATGAACAATGCAGATACAGTTATGAAGCTGAATTTCCTAGAAAGGAACTTGGTAGGTATAATTATTTGTAATTTTTAAAACTCTTTTGTGACTGAGAAAACTTTCTAGTAAGGAAATAGAAATGTAAAGATTAAAGCAGCAATATATTCACTTGGTTTGAAATATGTTTTTCACATAAATGGCTTTGCTTTTAACCTTAAATATGTTTCTTAATTGTGAGATTTACATGTAGTTGTATAATTGATTGCTATTATATTCATTAAAATATTGTGTAATATTTATTTAAAATTGACAAATATTTTCCAAGTCACCTAATTTTATATCATATGGCCTAATGTTAATTTTTTTCCTCTTTGAAAATATAACTGATTTTTAAAAATCTGTCCTGTTCAGGAGGAAAAAAAGCAAGAGCAGAAGTCGTAGTCATGATAGGAAGAGAAGCCGAAGCAAGGACCGCAAACGAAGCCGTGAACGTGAGAGAAAGAAAAGCAAGAGTCGAGAAAGAAAGCGCAGTAGAAGTAAAGAACGGAGACGCAGCCGTTCAAGAAGCAGAGAACGTCGATTCAGAGGCCGTTACAGAAGTCCCTAGTATGTTGTATGAAATTATTATTTTAGGTTTCTTTAAGAGTAAATAAATAGTAAAACTTTTAGCTTGAGAATTTTAGAAACTTCAGTTGTAATACAATTTCCTCAGCATGACAGTTTTATTTCACAACCATTCAATATAATGGTTATGATACTAATAAGAATATATCTCTTAATGATAAATGTCAAACAGAATGATAAAGGCGGTACATAACACTGCTTTTTTCTTTAATCCTAGTTCTGGTCCCAAGTTCAATAGTGCCATGAGAGGAAAAATTGGCTTGCCGCACAGCATGAAAATAAGGTTTTGTCTTACTTTCTTTAATGAGGGATTTAATGGTTTATATTGATATTTTTTCCCTTCATAATTCTGTACATGTTTTTTTTACAGCAGACGTCGATCTAGGAGCAAAAGTCCTTTCAGAAAAGACAAGAGCCCTGTAAGGTAGGGATTTGAATCTTGCTTAATGTTGAAATTTCCATAATATATTGAATGTTCTACATATTTACATTCTACACTGATTTCTCATTAAAAATTCTGTTCTGTGTGATTGCCTGCCCTTGCAGTGTATGTGGATTTATGTTTATAAAGACACTGCTAGAAATTAGACATACTGTTTAGAGTGTAGAGCTAATTGGCAGTGGGATTCTTCTGGACTGGTGTTGCTAATATGCATATGTGTGTATATTTTAGAAAAGCAGATTAGAAAACTTTTGCTGAAGATAGGAGATCAATTAATATACATCAGAGTTAAAATTATTTTTTATAATGCTGTAAACAAAAATAGATGAGGTGCCTATACTTAAAATATATTTCCACTGAAACTTCAGGCATCCCTTAGTCACAGGTGTTTGGGTTAATGATAGCCAGAATTTCTTGTTATATCCAGTTCCTTATTCCATACTATTATTTGTCTTTTCATATGCATATTTTGCATGTTGAATATTTATTGAATTTATAGGGCACTCACGTCAACTGAGCAGTATATAAGTTTAAAGCATATTCAATACAATGAAAGCAAAATGAGCTAATTGACCAGCATCTTAATACATTTCCCACAGAGAGCACATAGTTCCAAGTGGAGGCCGAAGTGATCCTGATTCTGAAAGGGGGAGGGTAGATCTTGTGCTTTGAAACAAGGGGTACTTTCCCCCCGTCTTATAAAAGCATGTTTAATGAATCTTTATTTGTGTTTGAATGTAAGTGATCTTAATAATATAAAAATGAAATCTGGTCAAGTTAGCTTGTTTAAATGTGTTCATATTGATATATCAATAACAATTATTGTTTTTCAGAGAGCCTATTGATAATCTTACTCCAGAGGAACGGGATGCTCGAACAGTATTCTGTATGCAGCTTGCGGCAAGAATTAGGCCAAGAGACCTGGAAGAATTTTTCTCTACTGTAGGAAAGGTGTGATATGAAGAATTCTTGACAGTTCTTTTAATATCTTCTGGGTTCTGAGATTTTTATTTTATTTTATTTATTATTAAATTTCTACATCACCCATCTCACCTAAGTGACTTTGGGCAGTTTACAACAGCATAATAAAACCATATTAATACATGAATTAAAACTGTTTAAAAAGTTAAAATGGGCTAAAATGTGCAAGTGAAGATAAATCAGGTTAAAAATTAAAAGATTAGGAAATTAACATGGCAGCAGAAGAGTCCTTGGACCACAAGCCATTCCCAGGACTGCATCCTACATCTATGTATAGGAGAAGGAATGGCAGAAGCTGGTGGCAGAGTCAAAAGAAGAATCACCTTAAAGTGATTGTGTAGTCACAAACCGACCAAGTCTTTTCTTGAATTCTGTTGGCCTTTATCACCAAGATAGTGCGAACCATATATTCCTGTGCATGGAGATCATTAGAAATAAATCAATTTAATTGGAACTTCATTTGTGGTCCTGATGTTTCGTGCCTGACACCATGCTAATTGAAAAGCCTGGTCTTAACATTCTTCTAGAAAACCAGAAGAGTAGTGGCTCACCTCACCTCTGGGGTAGGATGTTCCATAGGGTGGGAGCAGCAGCTGAGAAGTTCTTTCTCCTAGATACCATTAATTGAAAATACTTGACTGACAGGACATACAGCATACCCTCCCTGCTTGACCTGATGGCACAGGTTGATATAATCGACAGACGGTTTCTCAGGTATTCTGGTCCTATACCTTGAAGGGCTTTAAAGGTGATAACTAATACCTTGAATTGAATTGAACCCAGAAGAAAACTAGCATTCAGTGCTCCTCATTTACATGTGCCACTCTAGGGGCGCACAAACTGCTCATGTTGCATTCTACACCAGTTGCAGCTTCTGAATACTTTTCAAGGATAGCCTCACATAGAGCACATTATACTTGTCTACCTGGGAAGCGAGTAGGGGCATGAGTGACTGACAGAATAGCTTTCCAGGAAAGTGCATAGCTGGTGTACAACCTGAAGTTGAGCAAAGACCCTCCTAGGCATGGCAGCCATCTGCTCCTTCAGCAGAAGTCATGAGTCCAGGAAGATTACGGACTGGGTTTTTGTCTAGAGCAGTGCTACCCTATGCAAACCCAAAGATAGTAAACTCCCAGGTACAGAGGAGCTACCTATCCATAGCCAGTCTGTTTTAACAGGGTTCAGTTGAAGCCTGTTGTCCCCTACCCAGCCTCTTAAAGCCTCTCCACAAAACTTATTAGCTCCCGACACCAGAACCTACCCAAAAGGATGATGGTATCAAAGGCAGTAAGATGTCAAGAAGAGCTGGAATGGAGAGGTCATCCAAAAGCTTCTGTCCCATATCTAGGCCTGAATCTGTCCCTTAAAAAGAGAAGGTGGGAAACTCAGTAAAAGTTGTCCAAAATGGTGGGATCCAGTGCCGTCCTCTTGAGAAAATTAAAAAGTCTTCTATATATCAAAATGTTTGTTCTATATATAAACTAGCTTGTATGATTTAACTGTTACGATATGACTTTTACTCGAACACGATTCTCCATTGTATGCATACAATATATATTGTGTACTCTTGGAAGCTCCCTGATGTGCATATACAATGCAAAATAGATAAGTTTTCTTATGTGAATGGAATCTCCCGTTAAAATCTCAGAAAACTAAGTAATCATGTATCAGATATGAAAATTTCAGATAGTGGTTTGATTTTATGTATAAAAGTATATAGTAAATCCATTAAAGGTTTCAACTACATAAAACAATACTTCATTTTTTCCCTAGGTCCGTGATGTACGCATGATATCAGATAGAAATTCAAGACGTTCAAAAGGAATCGCATATGTAGAATTTGTTGATGTCAGCTCAGTTCCTTTGGCCATTGGATTAACTGGCCAGCGAGTGTTGGGAGTACCAATTATTGTACAAGCATCTCAGGTAAATTTGACATGAATTACTTTCTTAGTGCTAATCTGATAAAACTGATTCCTTGTTGACGATATTGCTTAGTGTGTTGTTTCTATATAGTCAACTATATAGTGTGTTGTTTCTATATAGTCAACTATATATTAAAACTAATAGTATTATTTTCATGATTATTCAAAACCTTAATTGAAACACCAGCTGCCTGTTATGATTGATAGGAATAGTTCGTGAGATCCTACATTACATCATACATGCAAATTGTTGGAGATGTCACTGATACTTTTAATCCTTTTCCATCTTGCTGATAATATCCAGTAGATCTGGCTTAACATTCTAGATTTTGTGTGAAATAAGATTATGAAAGAACAGGTGGTTTCCAGTCTCTTTAGAAGAGACGAGGCACTGACGTATTTTGAAGACAACATGAGTAAATCAATTTTTTATTTGGAGGAAGTAAAGAGTCAAAGGTTTTTGGAAAATTATGTATTCTGAAATTGAGTTTAGGTTAATGTTGCAGTAGACATTACTCTGTGCAACTTCTCAATATGAAAGACAAAGATACTGTATATACTCGAGTATAAGCCTAGTTTTTCAGCCCATTTTTTGTGCTGAAAAAATCCCCCTCGGCTTATACTCGAGTCAGATTCCCCTCTGAAAAAAAAATGGTGTGGAGTCGCGGCCTCCGGCGGCAGCGACTCCCAACAGCCCCAGCCGGGAAGGGAAAGGCAAAAAGCGCTTTGCCTTTCCCTTCCCGAGGCGGCGGGACTGGGGCCGCGCCGGCGGTAGTGACTCCTGACTCAGGGGGCCTCCGAGGGAGGGGAAGAGAGTGACTCCTGCCTCCCGCTGTCATCATCATCTTCTTCTTTTGGGTTAGTGAATCAATTAAACCTTTCATGATAGTGAGATCGTTTCCCAAATTAATTATTTTTATTTTTGAAATTTACCAGTAGCTGCTGCATTTCCCACCCTCGGCTTATACTCGAGTCAATAAGTTTTCCCAGTTTTTTTGTGTAAAATTAGGTGCCTCGGCTTATATTCGGGTCGACTTATACTCGAGTATATACGGTAATACTTTACAGTTAGTTTTTATTTTTAACTTTTGATGCCAAGCAAATAAGACTTTTTATATGACAAAATTTTTAGCAGAAAATAGAACAAAATCTTATAAGTAAAATAAAAGTATCCGCTGTGTTAGATCTCGGATAGCTCTCAAATATAAATGTACATAGCTTATATAACTGAGAAAGATTTGGATTTTGCACATACATAGGAATGTATTCTGGTAGAATGCAGCATAGCTTATACTACTGTGTATAATAATCTAATATTTCCTGTGTGTGTGTATATATATATATATGTATATATATTTTAGGCAGAGAAGAACAGAGCAGCAGCAATGGCTAATAACTTACAAAAGGGAAGTGCAGGCCCCATGAGACTCTATGTAGGCTCATTACATTTCAATATAACTGAAGATATGCTTCGTGGAATCTTTGAACCATTTGGCCGGGTAAGATTTTTTCAATACAATATCTCTCTACTTAATATTCAATACAAATTAGTATCTTTGTGCTTAAAAATCCTCTTATAGTATCATAATTTTTCATGTAATACAAACTCATTATAGAGCCAAGACAGTCTAGGGCTCAATATTGAAATACAATAGAGTAGGGACCGAATGTTCCATGTGAGAGGGAATGTGTTTATAAATCATGGACTTTTCTTGTGGTCCAAGTATCGTTAACTTCTAATGCAGAGAACCTTTCTTCTCTTATTATTTGAACTCAACGGGAACATTGAAAGAAAGTTCCTTGAAATAGCTCGGTATCTGTTTTATAAGTGATTACAGATACTTGAGGTTAGGCCCAGAAGCCCATTTGGTTACCAGTTGAGCAACTACAGTGCTAGTGTTCTACAGTAGTTACTAAAATTAGTAATCAGACTGCTATGCTCTGTATTAGCTGCAGCGCCCAAAACATCTTCAAACAGTCCCAAACAGAACACATTGAAAATGTGTTTTTATAGGATTAGTAGAATTTTAGCATCAGAACAACTCAGAGATATAAAGCTGAAATAGTGATAGGTGTAAGCTTAATAAATGAAAATAGAAAATTTAACATGTTCTTATTAAATCTGGAATTATACTGTATATGTTTAAAAGGTGACTTTCTGAAAATTTAAATTAAGATCTTTAAAAATTGATCCTATAAGCTGATAAATTGAGGTAATTTTATAATCTATTTGATTATGGTTTTATTGGTCAAAATTAGCACACTAAATTGAGTGTATGCACAATTAAAGTAATTAATATAATGGGGTTGGGGGCCCCTGCTATAGCTGATTGGAATTCAAAGAATCTAAAATGGCTCCAAATAAATGGTTACTCCATCTTTTACTATTCCTGGAATATATTATTAGGAAGAATAAAAGGCAATATTGGAGGAGTCCATCAGTATTTGAAACTTTAAAAAAACTGTTTAACTTTCACCCTACATTTAAATATATATATTTAATACTAATGGGTAGCCTTGATCTTTTGCAGATTGAAAGCATTCAGCTAATGATGGACAGTGAAACTGGGAGGTCCAAAGGATATGGATTTATTACTGTAAGTTTATATAGTTGACATATATGGACTGGGAGACAATAAAGTAACTCATGGTTACAATGATAGTGCAATAATTATCAATCATAACTAGGAAATAATTTCAATGCATATAAGAAATAGCTTTTATAGTGCATAATATGTATGTAGCCCATTGTATTTTAAATGGGTGCAGCATATGTTCTTGAACAGAAATCTATCATGCCTCCCGTCAATTTTTTAAATTGATATTGAGATTAATCTACATGGTGTCTCCCATGATTTTAGTCTTTTTTTCTGCATGCTGCTATGAAGTACAACAGCATAAAAATATTAGCATAAGAAGTCCTCACTGATGCCATATCTAGCTATTGTTGAAAATTATGATGGATGGCACTGAAAAAGAAATGTTATGAACATTTCTTGCATTTAACTATTGCAGCATCCCCATGATTGCGATCACCATTTGCACACTTTACAGCTGGTATCCAATACACAAAGTTAATGGAGAAGCCGGCAAAATCAAAAGTCACAGTCATATAATATCTCGCTTAACAACCTCATTGCTTAGTCCCAACTGTGGTCAAGCAAAGACTAGATGTAATAAATGTGTAAACAGACATAAATGTTTTCATCTCTTTTCACCCCTTTTATACCCTTGTTTGTTCTTTAGGCCACCTGTATTAGTTTTTTATCTAAATCAGGGGTGTCAAACTCACGTCATCACTGTTGTATTGGGACTTTTCCCCTCTACTAAAGTGGGTGTGATTGGGGCATGATGCATCTGGCCCACGGGCTGGGAGTTTGACAGCCCTGATCGAAATTAAATTAGGCAACGTGCTATAACAGTTGTTTCAAATGATAATTTTATATATTTATTTCAGTTTTCAGACTCAGAATGTGCTAAAAAGGCCTTGGAACAATTAAACGGATTTGAACTGGCAGGTAGGCCAATGAAAGTAGGACATGTGACCGAACGTACAGATGCATCCAGTGCTAGTTCATTTTTGGACAATGATGAATTGGAAAGGACTGGAATTGATTTGGGAACAACTGGTCGTCTTCAGTTGATGGCAAGGCTTGCCGAGGGTAAGTGAATTAATGTGTACTATATGTTTCTTCCTAACCCTAATGCTTCATGAGTTTGCGTGACATCCTTGCTTCTTTCTTTCAGTATCTAACATTTTGTCATATTTTTCAGTATTTCAATGAAATGAAGAGTTTATTATAATTTTCATAGTGGATTTAAACACAATCACACTTATTCTGAAAACTTTATAGTTAAAAGTAGATCCCAAAAAGGATTCAGTGGTTGTTTTTTTATTCCAGGTACTGGTTTGCAAATTCCTCCAGCTGCCCAACAAGCACTGCAAATGAGTGGATCATTAGCATTTAGTGCTGTAGCAGGTAAAATTAATTTTTAAATTGTTGTGTGGATGTTATTCTAGAAAAAAAAACTTTAAATAACAGTTTTGTGTGCTTTTTCTTGGAAGCAGGCACCCCTTTTCTAAGGTGTTTTTCTTTTGCCAAGATATCCATCATGAATTCATAGAATGAAAAAGTTACTTCAGGCTAGGACAGCAACTTGGATTGGAATTGCTGTCACTAAATGATGCAGCTGCAAAGTGAGATGTCCTGTGATTGTACTGCTTAGCAACAGCAGTTCTGGTTGCTGTCATTAAGCAAGGATTGCACAGCTGTTAATTGAAGACCTCTCATGACCATGACTTCCTGCCCATTTTCCCTTGCCCACTTTCCCATTGACTTTGCTTGTGGGAAACTAGCAGGGGATGTTACAAATTGTGATTGTATGACTGGCTCACTGCTAAATGGGAGCGGGGCACGATGCCTGGATCACAATCACATGACCATAGGGATATTGCAATGGCCAGAACTCCCAGGGACTGGTCGTGACTACTTGTTCAGCATCATTTAAGTTTGAATGGTCACCGAATGGCCATAAGTAGAAGACCACCTGTACATAACATTTTCTATTGAGTATGAAGTCTCTTCTGAAGATGTAATTATATTAAAATTTTCCGATGTTCTTTTTCAGATTTACAGACAAGACTTTCTCAGCAAAGTGAAGGTGAGATTCAATTTGAATATTGTACACCATTTAAGAACTGGTCACCCACAATTCCATTAGCTTGTTGCCATTTATTAGAAGTTATCTCAGGATTTCAAATATTCTCTTGCTTGTATTGGATAAGGAAAAGAAAAAGCATTTATCCTATTTTTCCAGTTAAAGGTTAAAAATATGAGAACATTATAATTATTTGTGTCTTGCCTTCCTAATTTTTGCAACATGGACAAATATATACAACATGTTTTCCTCCTATTGCCCTACATCTTCCTCCTATTGTCCTAGTCACTGATATATTCAGGAAAACCAAACATTTGTAAGACAGCCCATGGATCACCTCAATAATATTCCAATATACAAGCAATGTATCAGAATATGCCAAGTACTTGCTTGTTTTATTGATTATTAATTAGTTGATAGCATCAATGTACCAAAATAAAATGGATGCAAATATATAAAGATAAAAATACAGTTAAATAAGTTAATTAATATTAGTTTCACATTATCCTAGTTTGATCTATTAGAAGACTTCTCAGTTGGACAGTCTTAACTATAAACTTGATCTTGCTGGTAACAGCTGGAGAAAATAAAAAACTAGAATGCAAGAGGTTCAATAGTTGTTTCCAAGATTCTGCTTAAACATTTTCTTGGCTGATCTTAAGTAATGAATTGATAAGCCATATTGCAAAATAATTTTGATATATGTGACGTATTAGTCTGTTCCTCTAAAGCAGGGGTGTCAAACTGGCAGCCCATGGGCCAAATGTGTCACATGCAGGCCATGCCCACCCTGGCTCCACAAAAACAAAAAAAACATTGTGATAAGTCACGAGACACAACCGAGTTAGATACTTATGCTGTAAAATATTATTTTGGATAATCTGCCAGATTAGAAAAAAACCTCCCACCAACAATTTCAATCTTTAATTATAGAACAATTTTGTATAGGCTAAGCGTGTTTCAGTTCTAACTGCAGAATCTGGAGTGTACTCGTCCCCTTCCCAGATTTGTTATTGAGTAAGAGGCTTTTAGTAGATTCTGTAATTCTGCTATTTTTATTAATACTGGTGCTTTTGCCTTATAAATCTTTAAATTAGTATGCTGCAGAGTTATAATTCATTAATTTAAGTACAATTTCTGAATTGGCCATGACAATTTTTTAAAAAGCTTGTCTAAGTTAGTAAAAGCCATCTCTAATTAAGGGGAGAAATCAATTTGTTTTATGGACTACCCATCAGTCACCCATTCCCTCAAAATGAACCATCTACATCTAACGGAAAATGCAATTAACCATACAAAAAGAGCAGAAGTGCTAAATAATTCCTGGAAACTGGCACTTACAGGAGCTATCAATAGATCAGTTGAACTAGATAACATCCATGATTCAAATCTTACATAACAGACTAAGCCTCTGAGGCTAGTCAGAATAGACCTAACAGTTTCCAGCTTTGCTGAAATACAAAGCAGAATGTGGAAAAATAATATTGCCCCTTTGGTATCAAAAACACTGTTAGATTTGTATGTGCTTGCAGAGAAAGAATTTTGAAAACATTGTGATTTACAGAGTCACATAATGAACTCATGTTCACTGCTACATTTACCTTTTATGGCTGTGAAATTTTGTTCTTTCAGATCCTACTTGTAACTGAATGCATTGTCAAGTTTTAGTTGCCAAGTTGTTACACAGAGATGAGATTAAATGTTGATCTTTTAATTATCCAATTATTGGTTTAGCAGTATGTTGCAAGGGCTCCTTTTGGGGGGCAATGTCTTCACTGATAGTACTTTTGCCTTTTGGGTTATAGACTCCTTTCAGGGTTAGTTTTGTGGATTCAGGATTAAAGTATTTGCTTATGAGGAATTGCATTTCATAACAGAATTATATTGTATGTTATATATATTTAAAGCTGATACATAAACCAAAATAAAAATGACCGAAAAATCATGCTATGTTTTCTTTTTCAGCCTTAGCTGCAGCTGCTTCTGTACAACCACTTGCAACACAATGCTTTCAGCTGTCCAATATGTTTAACCCTCAAACGTAAGTTAACCTGATGCAGTTTTCTAAAATTTTCTCTATTTGGTATAAAGACATAAGTTTATTGCCTTGTTTACTTATTCTGCAGTGAAGAAGAAGCTGCCTGGGATACAGAAATTAAAGATGATGTGATTGAAGAATGTAACAAGCATGGAGGTGTTGTCCACATTTATGTTGACAAAAATTCAACTCAGGTATGTTTTTAAAAAACATCTATAATGATAGCATTATGGTCGGGCCCTTTAAAGTTTTATTTAAAAGTTCATGCTGTTAATATATGCAATGTGTGGATTCATTTTTCACTGCTTTTTAACTAAAGTATTCTAACATGAAGTGAAACAAACATTCATTTGCTTGTGCTTTGTGCCACTTCAATATATAAACAATTCCCACTTCTCGTAATTAAGACACAAATGTAATAAAATAGTACACAACTTAATATCATTATGACTGCCACCTCCTCAGGATTGGGAACAGTGAAATCACACATCAATTTCATCTACAAAAGCCTTCCAGATGGAGAGATAATACAGTTCTAAGTGCTTTATAGTTTTATAGTGATAACTAGCACCTTAAATTACATCTGGAACTTTACTTGGCAACCAATGCAGCTCTCCCGATGGTAGCACAAATACAGCCTGGGCCCACACAGTATGTAGCTGTTGCATTTTGAACTGTTTATAGCCATTGAATAATCATCAAAAGCAACCTATGTAGACTAGAGTTGCAAAAATCTAGATATGAAGAAGTCATGACTGTCAACAAACCTCTAATTTTAAAAAAAGATACCATAAATCTAGAGCTTTGATCATGGCTCCCACCTAATCTTCCAGCAGGAGCTGTGAGTCCAGGAGAACACTGCATGACCCTATCTAGAAGTCAGAGAGTTAAGGCTTTTGAATCAACAGCCACTCTGAGATTAAGTCTAAGCCAGTTTCTTCCCATTCAGACATCAGGATAGAATTTTATTCACATCTAATGCTTAACCTGGAGCAGAGATGTATGTCTAGGGATCATCAATGGATGGATATCCCAAAGGCAACTAGACTTTCTTTGTTTTTCCTTGAAGATGTTTCATTTTTCATCCAAGAACCTTCAGTTCTAAAGAAACTTGGATTAGAAGCAAAATGTCTTCAAGGAAAAACAAAGAAAGTCCAGTTGCCTTTTGGGACAACCATGACTGGATGACAGAATCTCCATAGACATGTACTGATGGATAATTTTTCCCAATAGCTTCATGTAAATATTGGTGAACTCTTCATCAGGACAAGGGGTGATAGTATCTGCTTGACATGATGTGGTGATAGTGTTGGTGCACCTCTTTCCTCTTTTAATATTTCCCTGAGTTTTTAAAAACTTTTTAATGAAGGCAGTACATCAAAATCTCTGTTATTACTTGGAGGCATTGAGGAATCTGGTAAGGAAACTGTTTATGGACTGTCTAGTAAATACTGATTTTTTATACTTCAGGGCAACGTGTATGTCAAATGCCCTTCAATAGCTGCAGCAATTGCAGCTGTCAATGCATTACATGGAAGATGGTTTGCAGGTAAGTCAATATTTACCATATTGTCATAATATAGTATGGCTAAATATGACAAATAGATATAGATTAGAGATGGAAAATTTGCTCTTCCAGATGCATCTTCCATCCTCCATTAGCAGTATCTGCCCTACTATCACCAATTCCTTTGGGAAAGGAGCGGGAGTCTATAGGAAAAGGTATTCTTAACTGGTGAATGCTTCTTAGAATGATGTAAAAGTACATTCCCCAAATTTGGTTTTCAGTGTTTTCAACTCTTAACCATATGGCAACTGACACATACTGTCAGGAGCCAATGGAAATTGCATTCCAAAACTTTTTTTTTAAAGAAACATACAAAAATATTTAATGTGATTTCTGCTAGGCGGTAGTTTGAGATGATAAGTTGAAAATTCCAAATTTAAGAGAGTTAACAAAAGTAATAAGGAATTGATTTGAAGAGTGTATCTGATCATGCCTATTTTGTATCATTTCTCTTGTTTGTGACAAATGGCCCTAAGGAAATTTAGTTGATAAGGCAGAAAGGAAATATTTCCCATTTTTCCTATGGCTGAGACTTGGAGAAACACGAAACCTGGTGGCTAATTTCAGAGTTCTACACAAGGGCACAGCAGTATTACCTACTGAGCAGTGTGACCTACTTTATGTTTGCCATACTTAGTACAAATTGGTTTATCTTTATGGGGGAGAACCAAATTTCCTATTATTACAAGCATTTAAAATTCTTTTTTTATTATCCTATGACATTTTATCTCCTGAGGACTTGTTTTTTAAATAAATGTTTCCCATTGGTCTTGTGACTATAATAAACATTGAATATGTTTTGGTTTTAGTTGAGTCATACTGAACGATGGATATTCATTGTAGGAATATAATGTGAGTTATCTAAAATAAATTAAAGCTGGAACCTGTTTCCTGTATTTTATAGGCATTGCACTTTGTCCTATTAGATATTAAGATACTATGTTTTCTTTTCTTACAGGTAAAATGATCACAGCAGCATATGTTCCTCTTCCGACATACCATAATCTTTTCCCAGATTCTATGACTGCAACCCAGCTCTTGGTTCCAGCTCGGCGATGAAGAAGGATTGAGTCAGTTTTGTACATAGCTATTTTTGAAGGAAGACTTGAGTTACCTTTATTTAGATGAAAACAAAAGGAAAAAGGTGTAAAGTCCTTTTGTGTACATTTCCTGTTACCTTTAAAGAAATATATATATAATAAGCAGGAATGCTGTGATTATTCTCATGATTAGCATTCCCACTGTAAACAAAGCTGACTACTTGTTCTGCCTTGTAATTCTTGTACATTTAGACTTTTGGCTAAAGTATGGTGTAGGAACAGACATAGGTTATAGAAAAGATTTTTTTTTCTGTAAAAGATGGAGAGGACATTTTTAATGTTTTACAAGCCTTCATTTTAATGCAGATGTTGCATTTTACATTTATTTAAATGTAGATGCTCTGCTAAAGGTTAAAATCAGATTTAACGACATATTTAGTGTGTTTTGTATGGAATGAAAATTGAAGAGGCTACTGAATGATTTTCAGTCATCTGATCTCATGTAATGTTGAACAGCTGGTAAAATTGAGAGGATTAGAACATTTTATTTCTAGATGGTAACTTTTGATTGTCTCTGTAAAAGTTTCTTGTAAATAAGGTGTAAGGTGTGTTTAGAATTCCAAACAAAGCTATCTCTGCATTTCCAGATTAAAGTTCCAATGATTGCAGGGAATGTACTTAATTAAAAGTTGAAGTAGGAAATGCAGGAATATATTTTGTCTGGTTGCATATAATCTCTGCTCTTTTTTAAGCTCTGTGAGCTCTGAAATATATTTTTGGGTTACTTCAGTGTGTTTGACAAAACAGCTTAATATTTCTATCAACAAACAACTTTCATATGGCAACAATCTTTGTAAGAACCACTCAAATAAAATTCTCTCAAAGGCCTCCAGAAGTTTTTTTTTTTTTTTTACAAAACTGGAGATTAACTTTAATTAACATTACATCTCTTTAGGTGTGAGCAGAAATCTGATTTGTAATTTGTGTTTACAGAATGAATCAGCAGTATAGTTACATTTTTTAGCAGGGGTGTCAAACTCTAGACCAGACGTCACTTGATGTATTATAACTTTTTCCCCCTTCGCTGAACCAGGGGTGGGGGTGGCCAGCGCATGAGCCACGAGTTTGACACCCATTTTAGAGCAATCCTTATGCTTAACAGAGTCCATATTAGATTTTTCAAGTATCTGTCTCCTTTGGTGTGGTTTTCTTCGCTTTCTTCAGCTGCACAGAACTATTCAAAGAATGTCTTGCATTTTAAGAACAATTACAGCTTTCAAGATATAGGGGGAAAACCTGCACATTTTTATGGCCAGTTAAGGAGGACTTCCTTTATTTCCTTCTATAGTTGTTGGTCTGATTTTCCTGATTCATTTCAAAATTTAATTTGATTTAAATGTATTGTTTTGAGTCTTCAAGAAGGAGGGTTCTAGTGAATTGAAAACTCAAAACTTGAAAAATCTTCATTCAGAAGTTCTATTAAAAATAAAATATTGTTTAAAATAAGACATGCCCATGACAAAAATAATAAATTTCTGAGCTCTATTACTTAATTTTGTTCATTGCATGAGGAAGAGTACATATTTTAAATCAATTATCTACTTTTTATTTAAAATAATTATAAGGTGTCAGTGTAAGAATGAACACTTTGAAAAATAGACTTGAGACATACTTGAAATTGACATTTAAATTCCTGACATATTATGTAGCATATGAGGAACAACATGGAGTAAAGTGCATTATTTTGTTCCAAGTTTATTTTGAGATTGAACATTATTTTCAGATCTCATTTCTATCCAAGAAAATGCATATCTTACACATTTTGGTGGGCAATATTCTGTTGCTCAATTCTCAGTATAAATTGATCATGAGCAATTGAAACTTTATATTATGTAAACAGATAGTACAGGATATGATAAAATAATTTGTTTAAACAGGTTTACCCTAAAAATTACTACTACTGTGCTGAATTACAAACTATGTTTGTTGGAAGGACTACCCATCTTCAAGATATATAAGAATTGCATGCAGTTCTATTTCCATTATTCCAGCTAGGCCAGTCTGTTTCCATCACATACCATTGACATTCTTGCCTTGAAAACCATTGCTGTGAGATATACTATGTAACACAAAGCTTTCTAAGAGACAGAAGAATCAATAGCTGGCTATTTTAAGATACTAATACCAGTGCCTGTTATGAACTCATCTCATTTTCCTTACTACTTACCCAGTTATTTCATTGCAGATACTGTAAAAGCTTTGTTTTTTATGGTATAAATATTAATAGTTGCAATTTCATGGAGAAAGAAAAATTTATTCCAATTTTCATAACCCTTCATCTTAAACATCACATTTCTTTTACCTAACATAGATGATTCTCCTGTTTTTCCGGTTAAGATTATTCTTGTTTGTTTTCTGGCTCATACCCGTGGTTTTATAAATACCTCACCTATTTGTATTGTTCAGCAATAAGCTTATAGAAGGTCACATGCTTGCCAGAAATAAAGAATAATCTTCAGATAGTGGGCCTGAATGTCATACTGCCTAAAAAGATGATAGAATGAGGGCTAGAGTTCCCATACGTTGAGCTTTGTAAATACAAGATACTGTGAATGTTGAGTTTGCCGTAATCAACTTAATATTCCTACCCCATATCCTTTAAAAGGAAAGTATTTTTCTAAAAATATATGATCATTATCTTGCTTTCATTTGAAAATACCTGTTCATTCAGTTACAAATGTTGCTTCCTTACACATTTCTGTCTTACAATTAATTACTTAATAAAAATAATAATTAGTATGTTACTTATGACAGATTAATGATTCTGGTGACTTCAAAACTAGAGGACAGACAACATCTGGAACAGTCCATGGGAGACATGGATTGGCAAAACTAAATAACTCCTTTTTCCGAGCAAATGAGCTGAGGAGAACCTGTGCATCACTATCACAATGCTCAGACTTGCAGACTTTGACAGTCAAATATATGCCAGTGTTACAACCTGGATGTACAAAACTATTGGGTACATCCAGGTCCTAACACTGGTACATACTTGACTAAATCATATGTCGGTGTGATCTTAAAAAGGTATCACTGTCAACCATGCTAATAGGTAAGATGTTGAGTGCTAGATAGATGACAGGCTAATTTATTCACTCCTCAACCTAAACTGTTCCTTTGCATCATGAGTAAACAAAGACTGTCAGAAACTCGCACTTTAAAAATGTCATACAGACTGCAACAAAAGTATTTGGACTGAAAATTCAGGGACATCAAGTATGATTTGATGAAAACCACGAGACCATTTCAACAGCCACTAGCCCAAGAACAAGGTCTATGCAGACTAGTAGAATGATCCATAATTTGTCTAAGATATACAAGTTTCAGGACCTTCAATCCAAAGTATAGACGGAACTGAGAAATGCAGGACAAGTAATGAAAGAAAAAAGCTGAGCAGGTGGAATCCTATGTAGTCATGCATGCCACCAGAAAGTTTTTCAGTGCTACAAAGTCTATGGTTTTTCTATATCAGGATGATCTCTTAACTGTCACCTGATTGGTCAAGCTGGATCAAATACTAAGGACTAAACCCGTTTCAATTTACTAAATAGGATGTCCATGGCTGGTCATTATATCTTAGATGCCCTAGACCTCCCTGTACTGATGAGATCAAATGATCTTGTAGCTGAACTTAAATGGGGCAGTACAACATTTCTGCTGAGATCTACAAAGCACTAGCCCTAAACACCTTGAAGATGTTTGAAGACATCAGGGAAGAAGATGCCTACAGATATCCATAGTAGATGAATTCCATGATGCCCTCATTATGGGTCTCTAAAAACAAGAGAACCAAATCAGAAAACAAAATGCAAAAAACTGAAGAGGTAACTTGCTGTTTTCCAATGCTGGCAAGATCTTTGCCTGAATTCTGCTGAAGAGACTTGTCAATATCTCAGAAAGAAATCTTCAGTGTCAGTGTGGCTTTTGACCAGAATGGAGTACCGCAAAGATTATTTGCTGTCAGGCAAGTCCAGAAGTATATTGGGCAGAACAAGCCTCTAATGTCTTCATTAACCTGACAGGCATTTGACATTGCAATAGAGGCCTCTGGATCATCCTGAAATAGTATGCATGCCCAAGAAATTTGTGAAGTTAAATCAGCTCTTTCAATGGAACGATAGGATAGGTTCTTTACAGTGGTAATAGATTGGCTGCATATGTCATTTCCAATCAGCTAAAACAGGGTTGTCTGCTAGTTCCAGTCCTATTCAATCTGTTTTTTGCTTGCATGTTGTCAGATGCTATGCAGGATTGGTCATCTCTTTACTTTCTCCATTTGAGCACATGGATGAAGTGCCTCCATACAGTCATTCTAATGTTTGCAATGTTTGCTGTGTGCACAGATGGCGCAGGACAGTGATCTATACTTGATGCTAAACAAATTTTATCAGATATCTCACTATGCTTTTCCACCTATCCTGAACAAGACTGAAATACTTTACCACCTGTGCCAAATAAGCTTGTCGAGTCTAAAACAGCTGTCACCTGGCCAGCGGGCTGGATGCATCATGAGAGTAATTTAGTAACAACACTTTTGTTTTCCACTTAACAGGAATAATTCCTGAAATAATGTTATTTGCCTCTTACATTTGCAACTTGGAAGTTTTTCCTTAGTATTATTGTATTGTTCTTTTGATAGTATCCTGTTGTAAGTTTAACCTGAGTATGAAGATCAAGGTTTGGCACTTGTAAAGGAGACAATTGCCATTTGAAATGATTTTATATCTGCCACTGTTCGACACAGCTAGCTATATTAGTTTGTCGGCTATCACACACTATGTACATGGGGCAAGATTACTGTAGTTACTATTTGCAATAATAAAAGAAAAAGGAATTAAAAACACTAGGCAAGCAACTCAACTTTTGATTTAAACAATAGTAGTTGAAAGGCAAGCCATAAAATATTTTTGTGCTGTAACTGATGTGTTTCATTTTTTTGCATTGAACAGAAGCCGTTAATAGTTAACTTTCAAATTTATAAGAGGTAAATAAAATCTAATAGTTGCAGCTTTTTCAGTAATCTATGGTACCACCTGCATTCACATCTTGTATTAAATTGCAAGCTATTCAGTCAGCAGTGTTTAGCTTTGCATGTTTTATAAATCTATGACGTGAAAGTGTCATGCATATCCAGAAAATTGCATTAAGTAAACCACTGTTAATGATATACCAAAAATCTTATGTGTGTACTTCTGACATGTTAGGAAGCTATGGTATTTAAATTGCTTACCATGTACTTTGGACTTGTAGACAAACAGGATGAAAATCTATGTCAATATTAACTTCAGCCCAACCCAACCAAAAAAGGGAAATTATTGTGACATGTAGCTCTTCTATACTACATAACTGTGCCACTTATATCACATCCAGTGTTTATTGTAGAAAAGTATTGCTAAGAGAAATAATAGTAAATCAATACAGCAAGAAGGGCTGAGATACTTTTATCTTATTCCTGGTACAAAGTTTTCTTATTTTACATAACAGGATGTGGACTAACAGGGGCATTAGTCTTCATGGTAAAAAAAGAATAAAAGAAATTCAAGTTAACAGCGGATTCCCATGCCAATAGCCATAAATGTCCCAAACGTTCCACCACTCTGCATCATGGTTTTGCCAACGCCACCCATCAGTTCTCGTCCTCTCATGCCAATCCTAAAAAAGAAACACAATGTTGAAAGTTATTTTTCAAAATAAGGCAAAGAAAATCATCAGTGGAAGATTAAAAAGTGTCAGGACAAAGAACACCAAAGTTGCCTGCAGGATGTGAATGTCTGTTTCCTTCCTGATCAAAATATGGTTTCAAGGACAGCCCGCACCCAAGCTATGAAAATTATGTTTTTCATGATTTCCTTTAGTCATTACAGTGTGTTCAATACTTCATAAACATAATGAGACCTGTATTTAGGAGTATTTGGTAATTCTTAAAAAGTACATCCAGTCTACAAATTTTAATGTCAAGGTTAAGATATTTAGTTATTAATATATATATTGTACCAAATGGCAGCTTTGCATGCCATAAAGAAGATTTACTGTCATAAATATACTGCACAAAACTATGGAATTTGATCTCCAACATACCTGACACAAGAAAATGTGCCAAATAGTGCACCTGCTGCCATGCCAACAGCAAAGCCCATCATAAAGCCCATTTTTACTCTGTCAAAACAACTGGGCTGGGACTGGCCATATGATCCCACTGTCACAGGCATCTAGAAAGAAAATTAAGCACACATGTAATATATATTGCTTCTAAACAAAGAGGATCCTATTTTCAATTGGAAGGAATATTTATTTGTATTACTAAGAATTTTAAAGCATTTTAAAATCATCAGTGATAATTTAAGCCTCTTTCTGGTAAAAATACACAAATATGTATGGTTATATCCATCAGACCTTTGCAAACAAATCATTGTGCATAAGCCACAATTTCTAATAAAAGGATGTAAATAGTTGCCTAGAAACATAAAATATAGCTATTCTTTTCCTTCAAATCCAATGTCGTTTATAAAATAGTACAGAAGTATGTTCCAAAATAGATATAGATATAAAAACTAAGTATCTTTCCCAATCATGATTAATGAAATTTGGAATTTAACCTCTGGAAGTACAGGAATGTCAATAATCAATTACACATTTTCAGTTTGCTAATCAATCCTTTACTGAATTATCAATTTATCCTTAACTTGTTCAGCATAATTTTCAAGACAATATGTTTTAAATAAAGCCATTTGGCTTCTCTATGGACATTAGGGATAATAACAAATGCATAGCTATTCTATGAATTCTTTCCAACAAAGATTATTTTGATTTAGGACTGTAAATCATTCAGGTTGCAAGCGAATGTTAAAAAATACACTCCTGAAATAGTAACTTGGTGGTCTAGTGCAGAGGATAGCATTCAATCAATCTTGGCCAATTTCAAAAAGCTAAACAAGGTTGGAATTTGTTTTTACTATGAGCCTCAAAGAATCTCATATGATTAAAACTAGTATAACAGCAACATGAAGTAGGATAGCAACTGCAAATCATATTTATATTGTTGCCAAAATTGCATGAAGTTCCTAGAATCAAGTTAAATTCAGGAGAGATTTTAAGAATATAAAAACTTGTTAAATTGGATCAACGCTAATGTTCTCTTTTCCCCAGTAAACAATGAGATGCAGGGCAGCTTAGTGCTAGAACAAGCTAATCTTCATTCATCTCTCTAGCAGCTGGTAATTGAGATATAATATCTCAATCTAAGATACTAGAGCCATTTCGGTGTAGTAAAAGCATCAAGCTAGAAACTAGGAGATACGAGTTCTTGTCCGACCTTGGGTACAAAGCCAGCTGGGTGACATTGGGAAAACCATTTTCAGCCCAAGCAAACAGGTAATGAAAAACTATTTCTAAAATCTTGCCAAGAAAACTCTATGTACTTGTTCAAGTAATCGTCAGCAGTTAAAACTGACTTGAAAGCAAAAAACAACACACAGTAATAAGCAGCCATCAAAATTAAAAAGTATGGGCCATTTAGAGTACATTTCTCCATGAATTTATCCCATCCCCTTAAAGTGGGCTAAACCAGTGTTAAAGACGGAATATCAAGAGAATGTGAACAGTTAAACAAAATAAATAAATAAATCTCAGTCCTGGGAGAGTATGAGAAGCAAACAAACTCAAATTAACGGTCATTTTCATGGACTCTACAGACATTTAGTGACTCCTGTTTCTTGATTATCTGTCTACCTTGAAAGGATAATATGGGGATAAACCAGAATAATATGCAAACACACATATTCCAGTTATGCTGGTTTCTAGCAGCCTTTGATATCATTGATTATGGTATCTTCTGCACTGACAGTGAATATTGGAAATAAGAAAAATGCTTCAGTAATTTTCTTCTCTCCTGAGTGGCCAGTTCCAATTGGTAGTGGTGGTAAATGGGGAGAGATTGGCTACTCATTATGGAATGCTGTGGGGCTCAACCTTTTCCTATTGTTTAACACATGGGTGTCAAACTTGTGGCGTCACATTACTGTCACACAATGTTTTTTCCGTTCAGAGATGGGGTGGGCATGGCCTGCACATGATGCATCTGGCCTGCAGGCCACCAGTTTGACACCTCTGGTTTAATATTTATATGAAGGTCCACAAGAGGTTAACTGCTGGCATAGAGAATAAAATAAAAATATGTTGATGATATCTAATAATATATCTGGGCTGGGTGAAAGTTATGAAGGACTTTCTGATCCAATGCAGGCTGTTAAGGGTCTAGTTGGCAAGAAACAGACTTACATGGCACCTTTCCAGAATAGTAGCTGTGAATTTGAGAACCAACCAAACGCAGAGTCTATCTTTGAGTCTGGACAGAACAGCACTCTCCTGAACTTATGAGAAGGGCCATAAGTTGAAGTTCTTCCTGGATTAATGGCTCCTGCTTGAATAACAGGTTGATGCCATGGTCAGTGTTGAGGTAATTCCCCGTTAGGAGAATGAGTGCACACAAGGAGACGTAGTGAGAGCGATGTTGAATAACACACGACCAGCACACAGACACACTGAATAGTAAAATGTAGGTTTTACTTCCAGTAAACAGTTAAGCAAAGTTCAACAAACAGTCCAAGTCATACACAGTTAAAGCAGTCAGTTTTCAGTCCAGGGATAATCCAAATAACAAAGTCCAGTATCATACACAGTTCAGTAACAGACTTATAACAACCCAAGAAGAACGATGATCAGCAACAGTCAATAGGGAGAAATGCAGGAACCAAAAACAGCTACCATCAGAACATCTAGCAACTAACAACAGAACAACCCAGGTTTCTGGCTCCATCTTATGGCCGTTTGAGGAACCACACCCAATTACAATTTTAGCATTCCCTTAAAGAGACAGTATTAAACGTCTATCCTGGTTTATATATTTCCAACCCAACTGTTAGGTGACTCAATTCCTAACAGTCAAGAGGCTTTGTATAACAATAAAGGATTAATAAAATGGTTCTTAAATTGTTTGACCCTATTACCTTGTTTCTCAATCTTGAATAATAGCATCACCCTCACAGAAACCTTAAGACTCTTGTTTTACACAATCAGCAGTCCCACACTGGATCCTCAGCTCACAAAATTGCTCCATTACCTCCAAGGATATGTTCAAATCATCCCAGTTTAAGAACCACTGCTTTAATTAGTGCTCTAGTTAAATTAAGCGGTTGGATTATAGAAATATGCTCTACATGAGGCTGTTCTTGAAGACCACCCAGAAGCTTCAGATGGCGTAGTATGCAATTGGCATGTCTAGTAATGGGCATATCATGGTATTCTCATGTAATATCATTAGTATGGGAGTTACATTGTTCCCTTTGGAACAGTCTCAGATGTACATTTTCAAATAATCTTAAAAAATATGCTCCCTTTAGAAAAAACAAACACTTACAAATGAATAAGATCATATTGTCCCTGAGTAATGTTACATTGGATTTATGTTTTATAATTGATTGTATTATATCTCATTATATCAATACTGTTTTCGGGTAAAAGCATTTATTTTACAGGAATATATGAATTATCCTTCTGAAAGATTTTAAGCACGACATTTTTTTTTTTTAAAAAAATCCCAGCATCTAGGAGTGTTAACATTTTCACTAATAAGCCATTATGACTCCATGATTCAAGACTGGTTCCATCTTATCCAAAAAAATGTGTTCTGCTATCAGATTGTGAAGAATAGGATGAATGGGTGGGATTGAAACTCGAGACTGACAGAAATACGGTTAAGAGAAACATATTTATTTTCAATAATTTCCAAGACTTAATAATGAATTGCTCCTTAAGAGTAATAAAAGAAGTAGCTGATGGTCTGGCTGAATTATATCTGGCTGAATCTTTAAGAAATCCTATAGAACTGAGGAATGGCAATTGTTGTCCCTATCTTCAAAAAGGAGAAAAAAGAGGAACGAAGGATCACAGATTGAGCACTGACATCAATAATGGGGAAGATTCTAGAGCAGATCATAAAGATAAAAAAAAATCTTTGAAAACTATACTTGAATTACTAAATGTCAACAAAGATTTGTCAAGAACAAATTCTTGCCAGATGATTCTTTTCATTTTATAACAGATAACTATTTTTAGTGAAAGTAAACTGTGAACAACAGTAGCAACTTGGTATGGATGGGCAAAGCATTTCATGCACAGATCATTCTGAATAGTCTGTGCAGACTGAAACATGTCTGTTCTACCTTTATGTTCACTTACACAACAGTTTGGAACACATGTGTATTATTCATTCATAGACCCAGAATATACAGGCTCCTGGGTGAAGTGAGTGGTGGAAAAAGGACTGTCAGTGAAGGAAACAGTGCACAGTAGTGACTACAGAAAGGGAATGAACATATGGAGAGATCAGAGGAGGACAAATGCATAGGAGGTATGAGAGGAAAGCAAAAGAGAGGGGATAAGGTACTTCTTCAGATTAGTTTTGGTCAAAATCCAAGATGTTCAGGGTTTGATTTAGTTGGATTAGAAAGACACAAAGTGTTTATTCCATGCACACATAATATATCTTATACATCATGCATGCTCCCATAAGCTAGTTAACAGTAGACCTGGTCACACGAAAAATCTGTATGTATATGACTCATACTCAAGGAATGCTTGTCAATGACTCATCAAATTGAGGACAGATCTTCAACCACTAGGGATCCTCTGCTTTTTAGTATATATCATGGATGGGAATGTGGATCCCCATCAAATTTCTGGATATCCACAAACTGGTTGGAATAACTAGTACTGTACTCTGGAGCACAGAAATAAAATTCATTGAATTTCTTGGTAAGTTTGAGGGATTGAAAATAATAGAATGAAATGTAACAGAAACAAGCAAAAGTTCTTCACTCAGAAAAGAAAAATCAAATGCACGTGGGTAGGATAGGGGATACCTGGATTGGCAATGATACTTGTGAAAAAAATCGTGAAAAAATTTACAGTTTTAGATTGCAATAACAGAAGTGTGATTTCCAAACCACAGAAAATAATTGTTCAATTTTATTCTGTTTTGGTTAGACCTTACCTAGAAAATGGTTTTCAATTTTGGGAATCATATTTTAGGAAGGACTTTTAAAAGAATTATTTGGGGATTAGAAATTAAGACCTATTTAGAAAGATTAAAGGAACAGAGTATGTATAGTCTTCAGGATACACAACTGAAGTAGATCAAGACCCTTTTCTTCCAAGGCACAGAACTCGGGAATAATCAATCTAAATTGCAGGAAAATGATTTCCACTTCAACATTTACCTAAAAGTAAAAACAGTTCAACAGTGAAACCAATTATCCAGAAAAGTAGTATCTGCTTCACTGGATATATGTTCAAAAGGATTAAAGATGATCTTTCAAGGATGCATTAATATAGATTTCTATAGATTGAACTTGATGCTATAAATCAGTGATCCCCAACCTTTTTTATGCTGCGGCCCGGTACCGGCATCAGCTGGGCGCTGCGGCCCAGTACCGGAATCAGCTGGGCGCCGCCATCTTTTTTTGATGAAAAAGTGCTTTCTACCCGGAAAAGCTCACCGGAAGCACTTTTTCATCAAAAAAAGATGGCGGTGCCCAGCAACCAGCGGCCCGGTGGTTGGGGACCCCTGCTATAAATGACCCCTTCCAGTGGATCTATTTAGCAAAAACAAATTAAAAACTTTAAGTAGCTTCTAAATAAAGATATGAACACATTTGTAAATATTTGTTTGAATGCAAATACTAGTAAACTAATTCAGGGAACATGATTTAATTCACTGTCCCCTAACATTCAGATATGTATTTTAAATCTGCAGATGTGACACACTGATATGCAGTATTAAACAATTTAAAAGACAGTACAATTGCATTAATATTTGTATATATTATGAACATCAAATTTGTTCATAAGTTTATATCCAATCCATAAACAAGCAAATTTCTTTCCTCACAGGAAAATTTATCAGGTTCTAAAGCTCTAACGTTTAAAAGGGACAATGAAAAATTCTTAGGGGAAAGCTAGCTACGTGCACTACGGCTTATCACGTTTCTGCAAATGAGATTTTAAAATATCACGAGCCTGTCTTTTTCGTGTATTCTTTCATTGTAAGTTCCTGAACTCCTATATCTTAAAAGCGTTTGGGTTACCTACAGTAAACCACAACGACCATACATATATAAGTGATAAAATCGGGCTGATCACTAGGTTACCGCCAAGACGTAGAAAACCAGGGTTTCTTTAACCATGTTTTACATGCAAACGTTCAATTGGCTACTAAGTTACAATATTATCAAGGCTGTGTTCATACAGCATTAAGCCCAAACTAATTAAAGAACTTGATGCGTATTTAGGCCAACGCAACTAAGGCACTGACAGCTGTGACTTCACACTATTGTCTATACACAACAATATGAAATGTATATGCCGTCCGTCTCCTAACGTTTCTGGACGGCTAGCTTTAATTAAGTTTGGTAAAACAAACAAATACATTTAAAAGGCTCAGAAACTGGCGCAAAAAAACCCAAAATCAACCCGGAAGCGCTCCAAATGTCGAGCCGCCTGAGATAAACCCCTCGGCCCAGTTACCGGCGGGGCCGTCTCTCACCTCGACCCCTGAGAAGTCTCTCCAACGACGATCTCTTATAGTTCGATCTCTTTCCGGCTCAGTCTGATGACGAAACAGGAAACTACCTCAGACTCGGGTGAAAGGTCAACTGGCAGGCGCTGCTGAGCTTTGAAACTGCGTTGTGTTAAGGAGCGTGTAGGGAACCGAGGAGAAGGGGATGATGTTGATATTACGGCCGACGGCATTGTGGGTCTCGAAAGGGCGGGTGGTTTTCCAAGGAAGGAGGTTTTCGAGGGCTCTGCCCCAACAAGGTAACTGCTCGTTTCTTTCGAAGGGAGGGCTGACCTGGCTGAGATAAAATCAAGAAAAGTGCACAGTTGTAGGTATTGATCCTGAAGGATCTATCCTAGCGAAAAATTCAGCAGATCTGAGTTTGAAGTAGCCACAATATACAGCAGAGGTCTCCAAACTTGGCAACTTTAAGACTTGTGGACTTCAACTCCCAGAATTCTCCTGCCCAGCATAGCTGAATTCTGGGAGTTGAAGTCCACAAGTCTTAAAGTTGCCAAGTTTGGGGACCCCTGATATACAGGCATCTTCTTTCTCAGATTTAGTGACATCTGCCTGCAGTGTGGTGTTTTCCTTTCTTCTGTTGGCTAAGCATATCGCCTACAAGGATAAAGTTTTTTTAAAAAGTGTCATGTTGACACTCACAAGGTGTGACCTTTGAGCAGCAATTTTTTGCATTTTGGAAAAAGGTTCTCATACGGTAGAGATTTAAGAAGTTGGAGTTCAGAGTCATACACACACACACACACACACACACACACATTTCAAAGTGAGTTTCTTAAGAGTTGTTGTGTTGTCTTTTGCTAGGTAAAGGCCATGTTGATGAATCTTCACTCCGGCCATTATATATGGATGTCCAATCAACTACCCCTCTGGTATGTTAACTAAATTATGGTTTGGGAAGATTTTGTTCTTTACTAACAGAAAAAATTAAACTGTATTTACAGGATGGTTGTATGCATACTTGTTTAGGGACCTGTCCTATTGCAGTTAAATGTTCTTTAGGAATAGACTATATTCTCTTATATATTTTCTCCAAGAGCTTAATAGGGAGTATGTAGGAATCTCTCTTTATTCTTTTACACAATGGCAACTCTGTGAGGTAGTTTGGATTTGGCTATCCCAAAATCAACAGAGTTTCCAATGGCTTTGAATCTGAAGGTCCTTGTACAAGATTTTTATCACTATGTTGCATTGGTTATTTGGTGGCTTCCACGTTTAATACAAAAGCAATCATAAAACAGAGTGGTGAGGATAATAGTTGTAATCCAAAATATCTGAGGTCTCCAAATGATCTACTCTGGTATGTAATGTTTGATTCCTACACTCATCTAAATATCAACACTGAATTAAACCTGATTAATGAGAATATATAGAGACTTGAGTGCAAAAAACTTTATGTTAACTTTTATTTTAAAAAGGGCCTAAAGCTATCTCAATATCTGAATTCAAAGGGAAAAATGATTTGGAGCATACAGACTACTGATATTACATCTGACAGAAATGTCTTAAATAAGTTATCTTCTCATGGGAGAGAATCAGTTTGGTGTAATTATTAAGGCATCAAGTTAGAAATAAGGAGATCATGAGTTCTAATCTAGCACAGGCACAAAACCAGCTGGGTGACCTTGGGTCAGTCATAGGAAGGAGACAATGACAAACCACTTTTGAAAAACCTTGCAAAAAAAAAACAAAACCCTCCAGGGACTTATCGAGGCAGTTTCCGAGAATCAGTGTTTGAATGAAAGAAAAATAAGTCATGTTTAATTTAAGGAAAAACTGACAGGTACAATGCCCATGCCCCATGTAGTCTCAAAAATGTTCCCTTTTGAATTAGGATTACTACACTGCCTTTTATATATGCATCATGAAAATCAAATAAGGGCAAAAAATAAAATAAAATGGATTGCTATGTATCTTATGTTCTAGGACCCAAGGGTTTTGGATAGCATGCTGCCTTATCTTGTGCATTACTATGGCAATCCCCACTCTAGAACTCATGCATATGGTTGGGAAAGTGAAACTGCAATGGAAAAAGCCAGACAGGTGAGAATATTGTTTTGTTCTTAAAATTAAATAATACATCTGTTTCTGCTGTATTGTTAAGCAGTTTTGTTCTGGAAAATGTTAGATTTCCCCCCAAAAAAAGTTCTGCTCTAATTTACATTCATGTATTCCTTTTTTCCCCTCTAGCAAGTTGCATCACTAATAGGAGCAGATCCTCGGGAAATTATTTTTACCAGTGGGGCCACAGAATCAAACAATATAGCAATTAAGGTAAGTGTGTGTGTGTGTGTATGTGTGTGTTTATGTTTATAAATAAAATTTATTGGCTACCCATCTTACTATAGGATAACACTGGGTGGCTTACAGTTACATCTAAGTTAAAATATAAACAGTTAAAATCAAACCTTAAAACCAAAGACACTTGGGGAGGGCGGGGTGGAGTGTGGGGAAGGTGGGATCTGTTATTACTCAACCAAACACCTCCATTGTGCTGTTCCCCCATTGGGGCTCCAAGTCAACTGGCAAAGCCAATATATTGCAGTATTGATTAAAAATATTATTATTATAATTTCTCAGTACTATGAGTATTAAACAATTGTTGTGTTCCCCTTTAGTTGTAAGGAAGACATGTATTTGAATAAAGCAACAGCAACTAGTAACATACCCATATTCCGTTTTTTAGACTATAAATAAATGTTATAATCTCAGAAATTCCATTTGAGATGTTGCATATATACTATACTGTACTTAAATTTACTGAATGCTATTCTTCTTTAAACAAAATATACTTTGAAATTGTTATTTGGAATTTTCTTGTAATTGTGCATTTGTATGCTAGCATTATGGAGCATTTTGAGACACAAAAGAATATAGCATGGCATGATGTTAAGGACACTTCATTTGATTCCTTTTTTCTTTCCCTTCTTGAAAGCAATCAGTCAACATTCCATTGCCTCTGAGCATTTGTGGCTTTTAATCTTAAGTACATTTACATTATATTTTCTGTTTCTAAAGTTACGTCATTTTTCCTTCTTTTCATAATCTAATCTTTTTAATTATCAAATCCATAATCAAATCCATAAATGAGTAGGTTGGTGTTGTGGTTAACACCTAGAAAACAGGAGACTGAGTTTTAGTCCTGCTTTAGATATGAAAATTTGGGTGGTGGCTTCGGGTCAATTACTTTGTCTCAGTCCACTTCACCTCACAGGGCGATGGTTGTGGGTAAAATAAGAGAAGGATAGGTACTTAGGCTTGAACTGTATATAGAAAAAAGGGGATAAAAGTCTAAAAAAAAATTTTTTTTCAGCAAAAAATCCATAATGGGTTTCCAGCCACTAATAAATGTAATCATTGGTCTTTTTTCTAAACAAAAACTTCATTAACATCTTTTGGAATGGAAGCGTACTTTATTTTTGATGTTTCTGACTATATACCTACTAATTCAAAAATCTCTTGTACTATTTGAACTGTTATAGCATTTTGTGTCATTTTATACATTCCTGTAATAACTAAAAACCAAAGGCAATTTTTCACTATTTTCCCCTTTTCTGCCTGGAATCTAGTGTCCAAATTGGAATCTAGTATCCAATTTGTGAAATCATAGTCTCAGATAAACATTATGCCTTAGGATAAATAAGAAATTTCTGAAAGTGATTACAAACTGGGGTTAGTAAACTTGGTGTCTTCTAAAAGACTCAGCTGGGGCTGTGAACATAATGGTTGATGCAGCCTCTTCTCCTCCATGCTGCATCGAGAGCCCAGGATGGGTTGACTCCTTCCTATGATGTCATTTAGCTGAGTCTGTACTAAGATATAAAAGCCAGCCCCCGGAAGAGACCCCAGCTTTTGACTCAGCTCCTTTCAGTCAATAGCTGTGTCTCTGAAAGCTTCTGTTAGATAACACTCACCAGCGATCTTCAGTGCCGTTTTTCCTCGTTTCAAGCAGACCCCAGGATCTGGGCAGCTGCTCTTCCAGGAGAGCAGGGCTCTCTCTCCTGCAGTGTTGGGAGCAGCGTTGCCAGAGCGCTGTTCAGGTAAGTTGGGCAGCGTCTGTAGACCTCCCCCACGCCTGCGGTTTGAGCAGTCGTAAAAAGCGATCAGCAAACTGATACCAGCGTCAGCCAGCTGATCGTGTGGCCAGAGGCTGCCCTTTCCTTTGCTGACTTCACTCTGGGCTCTTTATAGCCTAAGGAGAAATTCTTTGATCTCGGAGCCTGTTTCCCATAGTCAGCGGCCATCTTGGATTGAAGCCTTCCACCACGAGGTGAGCGGCCATTTTGTAAGCCCGGGGGCCAATTTATATTCTAAGGGGCTTAATACAAAAAATTTACAGTTTCTTTCCATCGTAAGAGCCTTTATTCTTCAAATGGAGCAAGATAAGGGTCAGGCAGAGTTTCTCTCCCCCCCACCCCAGTGGAACAGTCTCTTAAGTCAATAAGAGAAAGAGCAACGCACCCAATCAGTCCAGAGGGAGGTGGCTGCTAAAATCAGAGCTAAGGCTCTAGCCCCTAAGAAGGCAACTCAGTCTGAGTTGAGGGCAGAAAAGCGCAGACACGCAGCCCTAGAGAGGCAGTTCAACAGAACTATTCAACAGAAGGGAATGCAACTACAGCATGTTTCAGGTGATACCTGTGGGCCCCAGCCAAGCCCTCCCAGGGGAGGAGAAGTTATCTATGAGCCTGTCTCCTGAGGCTTTTGCAGTACAATGATCCTCAGGATCTAAGCAGATCTGGGCCTTATTTCCAACAGGCTTCTGGGCCCTATGCTCCTCCCCCTCCCTCCAGGCCTCAAACCTCTTCTCAATCTAGGCCTGAAGCCATCTTCACTCCCTCAGCAGTGGGCCTTTGGCCTTCTGCCCCTACCTTTGAGCATAGACCAGGGGATATCCAAGATGTTGTCTCTTTGGCCATTAGGCAGGGATTGGCTGAAGGCTTCAAACAAATCCTTCGACCTCCAGAAAGGGTTCAGGCCCTTCTCCCTTCTCAATTTATAAGTTGCCTCATCACCCTGATCTACACAGGCCCCAGGACCTCAGGGTCCATTCTTCTCTACCAGAATGGGAGGAGGTGGATGAGGAGGGAAGGGCTTCACCATCTGAACACAGTTACTCCTCTCGTTCAGAACGTGAAGAGGGCAAGACCTTTGACCAAAATCTTCAGAGGAAGAGGACTCTCGCCCAGAGCAGACCTCTGCATTGGTCTTCAATGCTTCTCTCTTCAGGCCATTACTCAGCATGGCCTTGGTCACTGCCAAGCTGTCGCCAGAGGAAGTGGCTCCCGAGCCACAAGAAATTCCCTCTAGCCAGCGAGACTTTCTTCTCCAAGCCTGTAGCGCATGCAGGGTTTTTGCCTTCTCCCACTTTGTTCCTGGACATGGTCAAGGAACAGTGCGCTTCCCCTTCGGCAGGTACTCGCCCATCTTCTCTAGATAAGCGTTTCTACAACGTCAGCGCAGCCCTGGACAATTCCCTGGCAGTGCCTTCTGCTGACATTCCGGTTCTGGCCTTGTTCCCATTTTCTGGCACTCTCACGTGGGCAGCCATACGGTGGCTGCACCAACTCCAGATTAGATTGCCTACATCTGACCTTCAGTCTCACCAAGGCCTTAATAAGATTATCGCAGCGGCGGAATTCACTGCAGATGCCACTCTCAATTCTGCCAAATTTGCATCTAGGGCCATGGCATCTTCAGTAGCAGCAAGAAGACTGTTATGGCTCAGAAATTGGCAGGCGGAGTCACACCGTAAATGGAAGCTGGTTTCAGTTCCATTTGCGGGCGATAAGCTTTTTGGCAATGCTCTGGAACCTTATCTCATCGAAATCAGAGATAAACGTAAAATTCTCTCTTCCTCTGGGAAGAGAGCCGACTATCACCCAGCTCCTTATAAACAGCCATTTTGGGAGGGTGAGGGTCGTTCCTGCCGTCGCTCTAAGTAATCCCTCGTTCTCCCCACCCATCGGAGGTCGCCTAGCCTTCTTTGCCTCCAAATGGGAGGAATCAACGGTGGATGCCTGCATGCTCAGCACTATAGGTCAGGATTACAATTGGAGTTCCTAATGCACCCCCCCCCCCCGAAAAAAAAATTTTTTTGATCTGTCCTGTCTCTCGGGACATGTCAAGGCAAGACATGAATCAGGCCATTCAACTCCTTCTTGAAATCCGAGCTATTCAAACCTGTTCCCCCCTCTCAATGGGGACGTGGGCTTTATTCTCGTCTTTCATCATTCCCAAAGCCTCGGGGGGGGGGGGGTAGCAAACCATCCTGGATCTAAAATTTCTCAACCAATTTGTACAATATGGGCTATTTAAAATGCAGACTCTGCATTCTATTTTAGAGAGCGTTCGGGAGGACGATCTCCTCTCTTCCACTGATCTCATGGAGGCTTCCTCCACATCCCCATTGGGCCTCATCATCGCCAGTTTTCCCGTTTCTGTTATCAGAATACCCATTACCAGTATCGAGCACTTCCCTTCGCCCTCTCATTGGCTTCAAGGGTCTTCACGAAGGTTCTGGCAGCATTGATGGCATCTCTGCTTTCTGTTTCAGTGAGGATCCAATGCTACGGACAACATTTTGATTCTGTCCTCCTTCATCCATGCAGTCCATCGGGATCTGCAAATTACCCTGTCATATCTCCAGAGCCACAGATTTTTCCTGTCCACTCTAATGGTTCCTGCTTTCCTACCAACGAGCAGGAACCAGCCACTCATCCATCAAGGTCCCGCTCCCACCACAAATCCGGAGATCTCTCAATTGGTGGTGTTCCCTGTTAATCTGAAAGGGACTCCTTTTCAGGGTTCCAGACAGGCTAGTGATAACCACCGATGCCAGCCTCCTGGGTTGGGGTTCCCATATGCAGGGCCAGATAGCTCAGGACCTTGGTCCAGGTCAGAGCCGGCCCTTCCCATAAATTGGCTAGAGCTCAGAGCCATTTTTCTACCTTTCAAGCATTTCAGGCACTCATGACCGGCTCTCATGTTCTAGTCCTTATGGACAACATGGCCGCCATGGCTCATGTCAACCAGTGGGGGGAGACGAGATCCAGAGCCCTCATGGGAGAGGCTCTACGGTTGGGGTTATGGGCAGAGCAACACTTGTTGTCGATCTCGGCGGACCACTTCTCCAGGATCAACAACTCCCAGGCTGACTGGCTCAGCAGGAGCCTAGTTGACCAGGCAGAATGGTCTATTCCTCCTTCTCTGTTCAGGGACCTTTCCCTCAGATTTGGAACGCCGGAGGTGGATCTTCTCCACTCCTCAAATTGCCCAGGTCACCAGATTCTTCACCAGGTTTCCTTGCCAGGGAGCGGAGGGGACCAATGCCCTTCGGTGCAGATGGCCCAAAAGTCTCCTCTATGCCTTTCCCTCGCTCCCATCATTCCGGCAGTAATCCGGAAGATGTTGGAGGAATGAGTGGAGCTCCTCCTCCTGGCAACCTATTGGCTAAGGACGCCCTGGTTTGCGGACCTGGTCAACCTATCAGTGGCTTCTCCTTGGAGGATCCCAGCCCATCTAATCTCCCTTCATCAGGGGATTCTGCTCCACCCGGAGCCCCAGTGGGTCAAGCTGACCATGTGGCACTTGAGCAGCAGCGGCTAGGGGTGGCTGATCTTCCTGAAAGGGTCATCATCACTATCCTGGCATCTCGCAAACCTCCCACAAGGCGCATCTATGATGCCACCTGGAAGGCCCTTCCCGATGGTGCCTTAGGGAGGGTCTCTCTCCCGCTTCAGCCCAGTTGGCAGAGGTTCTTAGATTCCTTCAGCATGATCTGGAGAAAGGTTTGGCCCCCAACACCTTACGCAGGCAGGTTGAGGCCCTCTCCTTGGTTCTTTCATGGGGTTCACTTCCTTCCTTATCCCATCACCCTTCAGTCAGGAAGTTTTCGAAAGTGGCTTCCAACCTGCACAGGTATCCTTCCTGGGATCTTCATGTGGTCCTTTATGCCCTTACAAAGCCCCCTTTTGAACCCCTTAGAACATTGTCTCTCCGTTTCCTGACTCTGAAGGTAGTGTTCCCCGTTTCCATCACTTCAGCCAGGCAGGTATCCGAGCTCGCTGCTCTTTCCATCAGACAGGACCTTTGTTCCTTTCATGATGATAGGGTTGTCCTCAGTCTGGACCCCTCATTTATTCCAAGGGTTAACACCTGTTTCACAGGTCCCAGGACATTATGTTGCCTGGCTTCTGCCCCCTCCCGCACCATGACTTAGAGCAGCAGTGGCACTCGCTAGACGTAGGTAGGGCTCTTAGAATATACATTAAGTGCACTTCCTCCTTTAGGAAGTCTGAAGCCATTTTGTTTCCTTTTCCCTTCTCACTTGGGACACAAGGCCTCTTCTACTATTAGCAGGTGGGTCAGATCTTGCATTGAGCAGGCCTACAAAGCTGCGGCCCTTCCTCGAGGTCTGACGGCGCACTCTACCAGAAACGCGGCCACTTTGGCTGCCTGGGCGACCCAAGCACCCTTGGAGGAGATTTGTTGTGCGGCCACGTGGACATCTCCGTCTCTTTTCATCAGATCCTGGCATCTGGATGTCCGTCTGGATGTCTTTGCCTCGGCAACTGCAGCCTTCGGCAGACAGGTGCTTGAATGAGTGGTTCAACAGTCAGTGTGATGAGCCGGACGAGGACCCACCCGTGGACATGCAAGCTTTGGTATGTCCCATCCTGGGCTCTCGATGCAGCATGGAGGAGAATGGGCGTTGGTAGAAGTTACCCTGAACGCCCTTTCTATCTATGCTGCGAGAGAGCCCAGCCCCTCCCTTGATTCGTCCGGAGAGGGTAAGTCATATTTCTGTATTCATTTGTGCTTTCAGAGACACCTTTCAGTCTGTCAAGTATCTTCGCCAAAGCTGGGGTCTCTTCCGGGGGCTGGCTTTTATATCTTAGTACAGACTCAGCTAAACGACGTCATAGGAAGGAGTCAACCCATCCTGGGCTCTCTCGCAGCATAGATAGAAAGGGCGTTCAGGGTAACTTCTACCAACGCCCATTTCCTGCAGCTTATCACAGGGAGCAGACGTCCAGACTACCAGGCAACCTCCTTCCTCTCCTTATCAATTGCCTGAAGCTTTAAGGAAAATGACAATTTTACATTTCTAATTTAACATTCATGAAAACTACTGCTTGTCATCACTTTTGATAATGAGTTTTTTTCTTGTATCAATTTAAAGGGCGTTGGAAGATTTTATAAATCCAGAAAGAAACATATAATTACAACACAAACTGAACACAAATGTGTGCTAGATTCTTGCCGTGCCCTAGAAGCTGAGGGCTTTCGAGTCACTTATTTACCTGTAAAGAAAAATGGCCTTATAGATATTAAGGTAAATGATTTATTTTCAAATATTTGTACATCTGAAGAACAGAATGCTGTTTTAATTTTTTGCTGTCCTCATTAGTCTTAGTATATAGCTTTCTGCATAGAATTTTCTCAATAAAAACAAACAAAATGTTTGTCAGGTAGAAGGTTAAAACTGATGTTCAGGATGTTAACCATTTCCAGTAGATCTAAGTACATTAATAAATGCAATTTAAAACATAGTAAGCTTGTTCTTACATTGAAATAATTTGATTAAATGATGATGATTTACTTGTTAAGATGCAATTCTAAGAATATTAAGACCATACAGTATTCAATTTAATGGAACTGTTGAGTATGCACACATAGGATTGCATCAAATAACATTCACTTGTTTGTTTGTTAAAACTTGCTGCTTTTTTACTTCAACAAGAATTGTGATCTGGGATTCCATTTTAAAATAGAAATTACAAAGTCATAATAATTTTAAAAAGAGTAGGGAAAGCTTGAAAAAAATAGTTTCTTGACTTCTTTCCATATTCTTATCAGGTAGCCATGTTATCTGTATAACAAAGTAATCTGTATGTATGTACATTTCTGTTTTGTGTTATTTCTGCATTTGTGTATCTGCACACTGGGAGGTATGGGGAAAGCTACATATGCTTTGTTCTGGGTCATATGACTAGGAGGTAAAAGGACTTAGAATAGCAATCACCAACCTTCTGAGCCACTGCACAAATATCTCTCCCATAGGATACATTTGGAGAGATTTTTTTTCCTAGTCTCCAACCTAATCCAGTTATTTTCAAATATTGTCTACTGTTCCCTACATACCAGTCTTCACTCTATTTTGTTCAGCTTTCAGAGAGTTATCCTGCTGAAAGACAAAGTTTGCAGATCCTTTATGCAATTTTTTCCAGCTTTAAAAATTCAAGTAATCAGAATTTGATGGGCTATATGTGGTCTAATATATTAATACAGAGATTTGTAGCCGTTTTTTATCTTTTTAAATATTTTATGTATAGAATTATACTTCTAAATTAATTGTTAACTATATGAACAAAATCCATGGAAGCTACATGTCTATCAAACAGTAGAATATTGTAATGTGGGAAGAAATATTGTTTTTGTTGATTTTAGACATTACTTGACCACTCAGAGGCAATGTATGACTAATTTTGTTTGCATTAGGATTCATCAAGTATAACAACCATTAGTTACCCCCTCTCTCTTGTTGGGGTGGTAGAATTGTGGGGCCTATATTATGAGGACGTGACATAAAACAATAGCTCTGCCTCTCTAGTTTGAGAATTCAAATAAGGAAGATGTATATAATACATAGTTTTCCTTGGATTGCCTAAGGCTATGTCAAACTTGAACTGATAGAATGAACTTAGAATAAGCTATTTTAAGATTCTAGTAGCCAGTTCTGAGCTTGACCCATTATATTTCACTTGTTTTGAACTTGAACTGGTTTGTACATATCTAATTATTTCCCTCTTGTATTATTTTTATCAGGAACTGAAAAATGCAATAGAACCTGATACAAGCCTAGTGTCAATAATGACTGTGAACAATGAAATAGGAGTGAAACAGCCAATTAGTGATATTGGTATGTAGACATGAATTGTGATCTATGCTCCAAATAATGGCCTGTGTTGGAGGGGCCATCATATGTAGACTAACCTGCTTTAATTGGTTAAAACTAATCACAATTTTATTACAGTACTTACCGGTACACAGTATAGGTAGTCATTGATTTATAATAGCAATAGGGATTGGAATTTTTGTTCTTAAGTAATGTATTCATGAAGCATGACCACATCACTTAGCAACAACAATCCCTGAAGCCCCAGTTATCATTGTTTACTGAATTCTATGGCCATTAGCTGAGGCAGTTTCTGGCTGGCTACTCACAACCAAATCAGTGGGGAAACCAGGAAATAGCAAGTTTAGGCAGCTGGCAGGTAAATAGCGGCTGCTGAGTGGGGAAGGAGGTGTGGGGGGTGGGTGCAAAGGTGTGAGGAAGGCTTGGCAAGGCTTGGGGAGGATACATAAGGATGCAAGGGAGATGCAATGAGGATTGGGAAGGGTGCAAAGGAGATGTCGCAAGGGTTGGAGAGGGTACACGGGGATGCATGAGATATGAGGAAGGCACAGAGAGGCTCATGAAGAGTGCATAGGAGTATGCAAGTGGCTTGCACAGTGCAAGCGCAGAGGAATTGAGTGAGTGGCATGGTGGGAGACATTTACCCCAAGAACTTGTGATCTACCTGGCTTCCCCATTTACTTTCTGGGAACGGCTTTCCCCATAGACAGGGAAAGGTTGCAAATGGCCATCACATGACAGCAGGACACTGCAACTGGTTGTAAGTGCAAGCTGGTTGCCAAGCGCCAAGATCAGGATCATGTGTCTGTGGGAATGCTGGAATGGCTGGAACTCTGAGGATTAAACTGTCTCAGTTTATTGCCTCCAGCTACTGTCATGAATTTTGCCAGTAAGTAAAATTCATCTGCAACCATATTGTCTAGTGGCTGACTTCTCTATATAATACAAGAAAGAGTTTAAGGTTTATGAACCATAGGTAGGAAAAGTTGACTTAGAAATAACCAGGGGATATTTCCTTTTTTTTTTGTTTTTTGACAGTCTTTCTTTTAGATTTTCTCATTAGCTTCCAGGGCAGATGCTAAATACAGCATAGAAGAAAGTGAATAAGTTAGTGAACTGCCTACCTCCCTATATTAGAGACAGATACTTCCTATAAATCTAAATCAAAGACTTATATATGAGGAGAAAACAATTGCTTTAATTAATCCTCAAAATTATCCCTTGAAGATAAATATTAGTTTCTATACTTAAAATACTCATTTTAAGATGACAAATAATTATACTGTGGTGTTTTTTTTTAATTACAGGTGACATATGCAGTTCCAATAAAGTTTTTTTTCATACAGATGCTGCACAGGCAGTTGGAAAAATCCCTCTGGATGTCAGTGATATGAAAATTGATTTAATGAGCATAAGTGGCCATAAAATTTATGGTCCCAAAGGTATTAATATTTTGTGAGTCACTGTATTTAAAAAAGAGTCATTATTGCATGAATGTTATAATTGCTGAACTGTACTTAATTGTAGTTTCCCTAAGTTTTTGGATTGATTAATATTGAAGTAAGAGCTTATTATTTTTTATTTACTTTTTAAAAATATTTAGAAATCTTTTGAAAAGGCAATCACTTATTGAGGTATTATTTTAATTGAATTGTAGGATATTCTTTGTTGTAATTCTTAAGTATTTTATGCAAGTGGTTGTTGTTAGTCGTGAAGTTGTGTCCAACTCATTGCGACCCAATGGACTATGTTCCTCCAAGCCTTCCTCTCCTCTACCATCCTCCCGAGTCCATTTAAGCTCACACCTACTGCTTCAATGACTCCATCCAGCCACCTCATTCTCTGTCATTCTCTATTGCCCTCAATCTTTCCCAGCATTAGGCTCTTATCCAATGAGTCCTTCCTCCTCATTAGGTGGCCAAAGTATTTGAGTTTCATCTTCAGGATATGGCCTTCTAAAGAGCAGTCAGGGTTGATCTCTTCTAGGACTGACTGGTTTGATTGCCTTGCAGTCCAAGGGACTCACAGGAGTCTTCTCCAGCACCATTAGTTCAAAGGCCTCAATTCTTTGGCGCTCAGCCTTTCTTTCTTTTTTTTAAAATTAAAAATAAACTTTATTAAAGATTAAATATATATATATATACATACATAATACGTAGAATACAACATTTCATTGCAAACGAAATCAATATACAAATACATAACAAATAAACATAAAACATACATATTTCTAATCAGCTAAGATGATGTGATCTTTTATTGAAAACAATTTTACTAGTATTCATTTCCTGTTTTTGGTAAATGCTCTTAATCTAACCACTTTATTTTTCAAATCCTTTTCTTTTTATTCCGTGGTTTTTATCTTTGATCCAATTGTACCATTTTCCCCAAGCTGTACTATATTTTGAGTCTACCTTATCCCTAAGTTTTTGGGTAAGTAGGTCCATTTCAGTGCAGTCAAGAACTTTCTGAATTATCAAATTATTTGTTGGCATTTGGTCACCCTTCCAGCATTGTGCCAATGTAATTCTTGCTGCCGTAATTATATAGAGAATTAAATATTTCATTTCTTTTGCATAGTCCCCTTTTAACATTCCCAACAAAAATATTTCGGCCTTAAATTCTAGTTGGATATTTGTAATTTCTTTTATCCAAATTCTAATTTTTTTCCAGTACTTTTTACTTTTTGGGCAAAGCCGCCAAGTGTGAAAGAAGGTACCCCTCATTTGCTTACATTTCCAGCAAGTCGGACTTAAGTTTGGGTACATGTTCACTAACCTTGAAGATGCCAGATATCACCGGTAACACATTTTATATTGATTTTCTTTATAGACAGCCGATTTTGTTCTTTTGTAATTTTGTTTCCAGACTTTTTCCCAATCTTCCAGATTAATGTTGTGCCCTACATTCCTTGCCCATGCAATCATTGGGCCTTTAACTATTTCTTCCGCCATTTCGAATTCTAGTAGGTAATTGTACATTTTAGAAATTAATTTTTCATCCATTCCCTCTAATATTTTATCTAATTGGTTCGGTTTTACCTCAATTCCAAATTCTTCTATGTCTTTTTTATACCTCATCTTAAGTTGTAAATATGACCACCATTCTATTTTCATGCCTTGCTCTCTACGTTCTTGGTTTGTCTTTAATCCTCCTGGGGAGTTTAGGACATCATAATATCAAATCTTTCTTCCGGTTTCTAAAGCATTGGGGTGGATCAATGCCTCCTGATGGATACACACCCTGGAATCTTCATATAATGTTTATGTTTAATCTCTTTCCACACTTTCAATAGTGAGCTTCGAATTACATGCCTATTAAAGTGTGTGTAGCTCTTATTTCCTGGGTTCCACATGAAGGCATGCCACCCTGCCTCCAGATCGTGCCCTTCTAGGGTTAAAATTCTTTTGTTTCTGAGGTTGGCCCATTCTTTAATCCATGTTAAGACTGCTGCTTCATAGTATATTTCCAGGCAGGGAGTCCAAATCCACCTCTGCATCTATTGTCTTGTAATGTGCTTAGTTTTATTCTCACTCTTTTCTCTGACCAAATAAATTTCATGGTAATTTTGTTTAATTCATTTAAAAAAAAATTGTCTAATTTAATTGGAATAGTTTGAAAAAGCAATAGTATTCTTGGCAAGATGTTCATTTTGTTGGTCGCAATTCTCCCTAACATTGATAATTGTAGTTTCCCCCATTTTTCTAAATCCTTTTTCATTTCTAGTACTAGTTTTACATAATTATCTTCTTTTATTGTTGAACATCTTGCCGGGCACTCAGCCTTTCTTATGGTCCAACTTTCACAGCCATACATTGCAACTGGGAAAACCATAGCCTTGACTATACGCACTTTTGTTGGCAGGGTGATATCTCTGCTTTTTAGTATGCTGTCTAGATTTGCCATAGCTTTCCTCCCCAGGAGCAAGCATCTTTTAATTTCTTGGCTGCAGTCCCCATCTGCGGTGATCTTGGAGCCCAGGAAAATAAAATCTGTCACTACCTCCATTTCTTCCCCATCTGTTTGCCAAGAATTGAGAGGGATGGATGCCATGATCTTAGTTTTCTTAATGTTGAGTTTCAAGCCAATTTTTGCACTCTCCTTCTTCACCTGCATCAAGAGGCTCTTTAGTTCCTCTAAATATTTTAGAATTATGTGGAAGCATTATTATTTATTTTAAGGTAGCATTGATCCAATTATTCTGTATAATCTAGGAAGTATTTATTCAGGTCTTGGCTGCATCAATGCCTTAGTACCGGTATTTAGCAATGACTGAAAGCTAATGCTCTCTTAAAACAAACAGACAAAGAAGAATTATTAAATAATCATTTTAAACATGTTGCCACTTTATAAACATAACCTGTCCCCAAGGTAATTAAACTGAAACTGCCAAAGATTCTTTGTTTCTTCTGTAATTTTGGGTGTTAATTTCCCCCATTGACTTGTAGCCATTATATTCAGTGTAAAGTGATTATACAGTAAAGTCAGCTTGTTAGAAGTCCCTATTTGCATTTCAGTGTAAATGAATTTCTTCTAAGCAATACAGTATTTCTGCTACAAGCATAGCTTGATTTTCTGCATTATGTTTTTGTTATACAGGTAGTCCTCAACTTACAACAGTTCATTTAGTGACTGTTCAAATTTACAACAGCATTGAAAAAAGTGACTTATGACCATTTTTCTCACAACCATTACAGCATCCCTATGGTCACATGATCACAATTCAAATGCTTGGCAACTAACTCATATATACGACAGATGCAGTGTCCTAGGGTCAGGAAATCACCTTTTGCGACCTTCTGACAAGCAAAGTCAGTGGGAAAGCCAGATTCATTTAACAACTGTGTTAGTAACTTAATAACTGTAGTGATTCACTTAACAACTATGGCAGGAAAGGTTGTAAAATGGGGCAAACTTCACTTAACAAATATTTCACTTAGCAACAGAAATGTTAGGCTGAATTATGGTCATAAATTGAGGACTGTATTAGGAGAAGGAAGCTTTCTAAATTGTATAACAGCTTGAATTCAGAAAAAATTGTGTTAGTTTACCTATTCACATATCTTAAACCAGACAGGCTTTTCCTTTTTTTTCCATTCCTTTTTTTCTTTTCTTTTTTCTTCTTTTCTTTCCAATCATGCACAAAATTATCAGCACTTCAGCCTTTAATTTGGCATGGATCAATGGAGTAATACACTTGACTTTTGGATTTGTGACACTATGTTTAGAAAAAGATTTGCTAGTTAGAATTGCTAAATAGAACTAAGAATCCTGATTATATATATATATGTATATGTATATGTATATGTATATGTGTGTATATATATATATATATATATGTGTGTGTGTGTGTGTGTGTGTATATATATATATATATTTGTTTTCTTAAGTTTTCGCGGGTACTTACATGTATGGTGTTCGGCTTGGTTCGGGTATTTTCCCACGTCATTGTAGTTCTTTTAAAGTTGTAGCAACGTTTCAGCAGAATCTCATCTGCCATCATCAGGCTTCTGT